CTCCTTGCTCAGTGGGGAGCCTGCTTCTCCCTCTGCCTGTCACTTTCCCTGCCTTAGTGCGCTCTCTTGTCTCTGACAAACAAATAAATAAAATCTTTTAAAAAAAAATTTTTACTCGTGTCCCTCCACAGCAACTTTTCATGTATTGGTAAAATTCAAATGATTTATCAAAAAAAGTAATACTGTAATTATATGATAAACAGTAGGTATGTCAGAGGAATATGGATTAGAAATTATCCTTAATTTTTTCTTATAATAATGTTTTAAATTATAAAAATAATATAACCACATTAGAAATTTTGAAAAAAATCATCATTTCATCACACTGACACATAAGTTATTCATATTTTGGTATAAACCCATGCACTGTAAAACATCTTTGCATTAGGCTAACTTGGGATTCCTGTTAAAAAACATAAGTCCACACTTCCTTTTTTTTTTTTAAGAATATTTATTCATTTGAGAGAGCGAGAGCACAAGCAGGGAGGAGGATCAGAGAGAGCGGGAGAAGCAGATTCCCCATTGGACAGGGAACCCAATGGGGGGGCTAGATTCCAGGACCCCGGGATCATGACCTGAGTAGAAAGCAGACAACCAACTGAGCCACCCAGGCCCCAGAAGTTCACACTACTCAGGTGATTGCATATTAAAGTTTGAGAGTTGGAGACAAAAGAAAGGTAATTTTTTAAGAGCCCGTTAGTTTCATTTTAAAATTACATAAAGTTACTTTTATTATTTATTTTTAAGTAAACTTTACCCCCCAATGTGGGGCTCAGACTCATGACCCCAAGATCAAGAGTTCCATGCTCTACCAACTGAGCCAGCCAGGTGCCCCCATAACATTACTTTTAATAGATAGGAGCAAGTTCTAGTGAGCTTTGTAAAATTATGTGTATGTATATAATTGGCTTATTAAATGGAGGCATTTTCCATTGGTTAATGACAGATGCAAGAGTCTCTGGTGTAAAATTTAAGGCAGTATCTAGAATTTACATTATTTTCTTTTTTCTTTCATTATTTTAAAAATTTAAACCAAGATTATGTTATGAGGTAGATTCCTGTACAAGCCTATATAACTGCTAGATATTAAGAATATTTAACTTCTAGGTAAGATGTTTTTGTGCAAATACTAGTTAGTAACGCCTAGGATAATAATGTTTTAGAGAACAAAAATGGACTAGTAAGCAGGTTGTTCACATGTTCTTGTGCTGGTTTTTCACCAATGTGGAATTTTTTACCAAAATGGAACTTGAATATGATCTGCAGCATAAGCTTTGCTTTTCTCTCAAATGGGGTCAATTATAACAACATTGCTTTTTTGGTTATTTGGTTATATAAGCTCTATTTAAAGAATATGTAATGGAAAGTTTATACCCCTTTAGATCACAGTTTTGTTAATTGGTATGATTTATACATCTGGAATATCTAGATGCTTTCTTTTCAATCCTTGGAAAGTGTTCATAGGACATGTTCTTATCATTCCTGTTTTATAAGTGGGAACACTGATGCTGTGAGAAATTCAGTATTTGATACAAGGTGATGAAATTCTTTTCATTTTTATCACACTGCTTTACCAAAGCAGGTTGATACTTTTATTTTTTTTTAATTTTTTTTTAAAGATTTTATTTATTTATTTGTCAGAGAGAGAGAGGGAGGGAGAGCAAGCACAGGCAGACAGAATGGCAGGCAGAGGCAGAGGGAGAAGCAGGCTCCCTGATGAGCAAGGAGCCCGATGTGGGACTCGATCCCAGGACGCTGGGATCATGACCCGAGCCGAAGGCAGCTGCTTAACCAACTGAGGCACCCAGGCGTCCCAGGTTGATACTTTTAAAATTTGAATGTTTAATAAGTAAGATTATGGCTGCTATGTATTAACATTATAGCCATCAGTATAGGCTCTAGAGAGGGGCTGTTGAATATTTATTGGTTGAATTAATAAATGATAATGAGTGACCAGGTATTCAAGACCAGAGAATTCTACAGTTTTTCCACAAACATATATTGAATGTAATACCAAATGAAACAATAAATAATGAATCCAAGATAGAGGACCAATTCATGTAGAAAAAAAAAAAAACCCAGCAGATTTTTTGGTTTATATTTCTTACACAAAAATAGATTTTTTTAACTTAAGTGCATAAATGAAATCATATATGTACAGTCTCTTTTTTCTTGTCTCTGTTCTTCTTTCTACCCTTAGAACTCTGCCTGCTATAACTATTACCAATTTTGTGTGTATACCATATTATCTCCACACTCATAAAATCATCTACAAACGTAGATATGTACAAGTAGATTTATTTTTGATCATTGTTTTGTAAAAATGAATTCTACATGCATATCTTAATCATTTTTCATTCTATAAAATCACAGGGAAACTCTCCCAAGTTACCTGTTACATATAGCTTTAATTCATTTTATATGGATATATAATAGTCCATGATATGGATGCACCATAATTTATTAAACCATTTCCCTACTGTTGGACATTTACTTTGTTAACTGTTTCTGCTGCTGCGAAGTTAGCAGTAAATAACTGTATATAACACCATTGTATCCTGCGTGCTTTTGTTTCTGTGGGGTGGATCTGAGAACAGAATGGCTAGGTCAAAAAGTATACTTTTTTATTTGAATAGATTTTGGCAAAGGCTTTTCATAAAGGTTATAACAATTCATATTTTCTTGAGCAGTGGATGAACTCCCTTTCCTCATACCACTTTAGTAGTGTTAATACCCTTTTTAAGCTTTTACCATACTGATTGGTATAAAGTGATATCTATTATTTTGTTTTTCCCATTTTGGAAGTTTGTATGTATTGCCACATTATTTTTAACCATTTGCATTTTCTCTTCTGGGAATTGCCTATTCATATTCTTTGCCAATTTTCTCTATAAGTGTTGGTTGTCCTGGCCAATTGTGAGAACTGTATATAATTTGTCATCTGCATTTGGGAAACTGATCACTTGAACTTAACTTCGCTCCCACTTTCAACTCAGCCTGTTCACCTCTACTGAGTCAAGCAGGGGAATGCAAGGAAACCTCAGGTTTTATGGCAGCCTCAAAGAAGATGGCTGGTGGAGAACTTAAGGCAAAAAGTAAGAAACTGACCCATGAAATTATTTGGAATGCCTCAACTGCCTTTCTACCCCCAGAGGGATGTTGACATCAGCGTGGCTCCAAGAAGCCGAAAAGGAGGAAAACCAGCAGGCTGAATCCTCCTACTCTTGAGCAAAGATTTCTTTTCGGTTCTATGCCCAAGGACTGTGAACAGCCTATTTGCTGTCTACACCTGCTACATAGCTGTCATGGTAGAGAAAGGGTCAGCTACCCAGGTCTGCCAACACTGAGCTTCAGTGAATAGAAAAAACAGCTACACCTCTAAGGATCCAGCAATAAGAAAGGAGTGTTAACTGAAACTGTTGGGACAGGCCCCTAGCAAAGCAGAGGAGTGACAATAACTTCAACAAAATACTATGAACACAGCAATATTGAAAGCGTAGTATTTAAAAAACCAAAACCCCATTATTTTTTAACTACTATAGCAATAAGTCAAATGGAAGAAAACGGTAACATGGAGACCTAAATTATTGGCCTGGAAAATATAGTGGAAGAAATAGTTTTAAACCTGGACCAAAATTCAAAGACAGGGTAAAAATAATAGATTTTGAGAATAGAACAACGAGATCTAGTGCGTATAAAAGGAGTTCTAAAAGGAAAAAAAAAAAACCAAATGGAAAAAAGGCAGTAATTTTTTTTTTTAAATTCTTGAGCCGAAAGATACCTGTTTCTGTAACTTGAAAGGGCATGCTGAATTCCAGGCAGAATTTATGCTAATAGAATAATAAATGGCAATTATTATGTCCTCACTTTGCCAGGCAGCGTTCTAATGGCTTCACAATAACTCAAGAGTCCTTAATAATGGCCTTGCAAAATAGGCACTATCATCCCCATTATTCAGATAAGGAAAAAAAGGTTAAGTGGATAGTCAGTGTAAACCCACGAGGTCTGACTCCAAAGCCTGAGTGAACTGGCTCAAAGTGCAAAACTTAGGCATATTCTCTTAAAATTTATGAACTCTGAAGATCAAGAGGAAATCTTACAAGTTCTGAAGAGAAAGAGCAAGTCACCAGCAAAAGAAAAAAAGTAAAATTTTCATCTGCATCACCTTAAGGCAGGAAAGAGAAAAGGACCACAAGCCAAGATGTCTCAAACCAATCAAATTACCCACCTGCCATCTGATGAAAATACTCAGAAAGGGATACCTAATAATATTTAACCTTGGTCTTTGCACGTGTTACTCCTCCTACCTGGAATAACTCCTCCCTTTCTTTACTAGACTAACCCCTCATCCTTAACATCTTCATCTTTTCCAGGACATTTTTTGCACGTCCCCAAGTCTAAGTTTTATACTCCCCCTAAGTGTACCCATAAGCATCCCGTATTTCCCCCATTTTGGCACTACTTTTCCCCATAAAATTCTAAGTCCTCTGAGGACACAGACAGACACTATGCATGTTTTGTTCACTGTGGTAGCCACAGTTCCTACCACAGTGCCTAGAATATAGTAGGTTGACTGGGTGACTAAAATGTAATTATAGTCAAAGTTAGCAAATCTTTTTGCTCCCATACTCAGATTGTTCTAGCTACTCAAGGAAAATAAAGCTGTAAGTAAAGTTTGTCTTTAGTAGATACATGAGGCTTTATTCAAGGATGCCTTGTATATATTTCTGTATCTACCTTGTGACTATAATTTTACAAAATCTGAAATAAAATTTCAACAAATAATTGTATGAAAAGCTGTGTAGACTCAGTTTATATAAGGCATATTTATAATGCATAATTATCCATGTCCTCAAAATTCTCTTATTTGTTATTTTGTAAAGCAGAATTAGTTGGAAAGTGTAGGGATGAAGTTGCAAGATTAGTCAAACTCTGGCATGGTGTTTTAATACTCTAGAAACAATAATGTTAATTCTGTATTTTTCTCTATTTCTCTTTAGATAAAAGCTAAAAATTATGACAAGGTTGAAAAGGTGAGTCCTCATAAACATATTTTCAATTTTATGCTGAAGTGTAACTTAGGACTTAACACACATAGGCAAATAAACTAAAATCGTAACAATTGTTGAATCTAGGTAGTGATTATATAGGACTTCACTGTACTTATTCAACTTTTTTTGTATGCTTGAAAATGTTCATAATAAAAATTTTAGAAAAGAAAATATACTCCACTGGCAAAAATCATCAGAATGATTTTGATTATCTAGACTGAAAATAGGAGGGATTTGTTAAATTTGCCATTTTTCTCTAAGAAGATAAATTCATGAAAAGAGCTGAATTTATTTTTTTAATATTCCATTTTGCCCATGTACATGTGGAATTTTTTAACAGTGGATTCTGATAATATTTTCTTGTATTTATAGCTATTCCAGAGATGCCTTATGAAGGTTTTGCACATTGATTTATGGAAGTGTTATCTTTCATATGTTCGAGAAACCAAGGGTAAACTGCCAAGTTACAAGTAAGTTAAAAAAAAGGTCTTAAGAAAACAAGTCCTCTCCAGGCACACAGTCAGTCCCACCTTCTCTTAATTTTGGAGCGACTTAAGAAATTCAGGGTTCTCTGAGAAGTCAGTAAAACTTGGAACAAGTGCTTCAAAGAAAGTCTCATCCTGGAGAATTGAATCACCTAAGCCCTTCTATTTCAAAACACTACATTTGCAACATCAAGTCACTTTGTTGGCGGGCTTGTTGTCAAACTCCACAGAAAGCATCTTACTACTTGTCATAGCACTGCTCTTGGCGGCTTACTGTGCAGTGCGCTGCCTACGTATTCAAAGTGCCTTTGACAGCTCTCTTGTAGCGTAATTCCCCATGATGACTCACACCCGCCTATCCATCCTCATGAAAACTCAGTAATGGACTTTCTCAAATAGCTCATCTTCTGTATAACAAACAGGCAAGTTATTTCTGTAACTAGAATTCTATATTTCCTTTTCCTCATTATCTCTTATTATCTTATATTGAAGAGGAAGTTCTTTCTTCCTAAATTTTACTTCAGAGCTAATATATCTTCAGACATAACTTACCTCCTTAATCAGAGAACCAGATATTTCCACATTTGAATCTGCTACATGCAAGATTAGGCAGTTTAAAGGATATAAGGTTAAGTGAAACGTGGGCTTTATCTTTGATAAGCTCACAAACAGTAGGCAAAAGAAAGTACATAAATTGGGGCGCCTGGGTGGCTCAGTGGGTTAAAGCCTCTGCCTTCGGCTCAGGTCATGATCTCAGGGTCCTGGGATCGAGCCCTGCATCAGGCTCTCTGCTCAGCAGGGAGCTTGCTTCCTCCTCTCTCTCTGCCTGCCTCTCTGCCTACTTGTGATCTCTCTCTGTCAAATAAATAAAAATCTTAAAAAAAAAAAGTACATAAATTAATGACATCGACAGACTAAACATAAAAGAACTGCTTTCTTTATGTACTTGCAAAGATATCTTTATATTTTTGCTTATACAGAGGTCCAAATGCTGTTTTGATCATATGATCAGAAGTTATAATTTTTTTTATGTTTTTATTTTTAAGTCATCTCTACATCCAGCATGGGTCTCAAACTCACAACCCCAAGATCAAGAGTCAATACTCTACCAACTGAGCCAGCCAGTCGGTGTTAGATATATTTTTTTAGTTGTAGATAAATTTTAGACTTAGTTTTAGTTTTAGTTGTAGATATATTTTAGTAACAAATACTTGTTTTTTAAAAAACATGTCTTTCTGGGTGCCTGGCTGGCTCAGTCAGTAGAGCATATGACTCTTGATCTTAGGTTTATAGGTTTGAAACACATGATGGGTGTAGAGATCACTTAAATATAAAATCTTTAAGACGGTGGCTTGCTGGCTCAGTTGGTAGAATATGTGACTTTTTTTTTTTTAAGATTTTATTTATTTGGCAGAGAGAGAGAGAGAGAGAGACAGTGAGAGGGGGAATACAAGCAGTGGGAATGGGAGAGGGAGAAGCAGGCTTCCTGCTGAACAGGGAGTCTGATGTGGGACTGGATCCCAGGATCCTGGCATCATGACCTGAGCCGAAGGCAAATGCTTAAGGACTAAGCCACCCAGGAGCCCCGAGCATGTGACTTTTGATCTTGGGGTCATGAGTTCAAGCTGCATGTTGGATGTAGAGATTGTTTAAAAATAAAATCTTAAAAAAATAATAAAATCTTAAACATGTCTTTCACATTTTTTTCAGAGAAAAAATGGCTCAAGCATATGACTTTGCACTAGATAAAATTGGAATGGAAATTATGTCTTATCAGGTAGAGTTAAGTTATTTCCATATTTACACTTAATATATTGAAAATATCAAGAAAGATACTGACATTTTACTTTATTTCTTAGATTTGGGTGGATTACATCAATTTCTTAAAAGGCGTGTAAGTATTTTTATAGGTTTTTTTTTTCCTTCCATGTGAACAGTTGCTTTAGCTACACTATAATTGTTGGCATTTTTTTATCCAATACCAGGGAAGCTGTTGGGTCTTATGCAGAAAATCAGAGAATAACAGCTGTCCGAAGAGTTTATCAACGAGGTTGTGTTAATCCAATGATCAACATTGAACAACTCTGGAGAGACTATAACAAGTATGAAGAGGTAAATTAGCCAGAGTAGTTCATTATTATAACTAAGCCATTTTTAATTTTTATGTACTTGGATTTACGGATTCTAGCCTCTCTAGTATAAGGTACCTGGATATTGGTACTACACAGGTCTGTTTTTATGCTGATTGTAATCAGAGAACTACTCCTAATGTTTTTGTAAGGTTTTGAGAGTCTTCTAATATTACTGAATTATTTTTCAGAGAATACCCTGGGAGAAATTATAATTCTTGCAAAACCACTTATATTCAATGCTAAACCATATCCACACAGTCATACATACACATTGTCATTCATCACTTATGAAATGGGACCTTATTAGAATTATTTCCAGTAGGCATGTTTAGTTGCATTGCAAGTCTTTGATGTAGCTACAGTGCTGTGATTTATCGGCTTGCAGTGGAGCTGCAGTCCAAGATCTTTGTCTCACTGGCATATTTTTAACTAGCTGAGCTAATCAGTTTATATATAGGAACATACATGCCAAATAAGCTGTATCGTTACAAGTTTCTCTTATATCTATTGTGATGAGGAAGAACTATGTAGGGTGTTGAAACTGTTCTCTTGGGGTGCCTATGTGGCTCAGTCCTTTGGGCATCTGTCTTCAGCTCAGGTCATGATCGTAGGGTTCTGGGATTGAGTCCCGAATCAGCACTCCCTGCTCAGCGAGCAGTCTACTTCTCCCTCCCTCTGCTCCTCCCCCTCACACATGTTCTCTCTCTTCTCTCTCAAATGAATAAGTAAAATCTTAAAAAAAAAAAAAAAGTTACACAGACCTAGTTAGAAAAGGGATTTTAAAGCAAAGTGCTGGCTATTCAATCTGATGAATCTGTATAGCATTTTTTTATTAATAGAATTTTATATCAAATAATAGACCTTTTCCAAATCATTCCTTATCTTTAGAAATTCCTGACGCATGGAGACTTACTACACCCTCCTAACAGATATAAGCAGATCCTCCTTGATCTCTGAAGCATGTAATGTGATTAACCTTTATTTTATTAACAAAATGTTTCAAAATATAGAGTTTAAAATGATTTAGTAAATGCACAAATTAACTGTATTGTACTAATTTTAAAACATACTTGATTTTAAAATAATACACATTTCTCTTTGTTTTCGTAGGGTATCAATATTCATTTAGCTAAAAAAATGATTGAAGATCGGAGTCGAGATTACATGAATGCTAGACGTGTCGCAAAGGTATGGAATTCCAACAGATCATTTCTTTTAATGAGTATGCTGTTTATACAAGAGCTTTCCCTGTTTAATGTTCCTCTTGGCATTTTCAATTATTAGCAGTCTTAACTAATGACAATTTCATCATCTGAGCAGATATATTTGAAATGAAATGCCTCTTTACACACATGTTAAAGGATAAAAATAGAACAAATCACATTTGGAAGAAACTTTTTAAAATACTTGACCAGGACATGGAGACAAGGTTCTACCTGCGATTGATGAAGAGTTCTATGCTTTCCTCCTATCTGCTCATAAATACTTGAATACTGTACTACTTTGTGGTCTCATAGCTCTTAGGACCAGATTTTTGTCTTTTGTGCATACCTTTCCATTCATTGACACTATTAAGAGGCAGGGAAGATAGCCTAGTAATACAAACTATCGAAATTTTAAAAGACAGTTTCTCCAAAGATGGCAGTAGTGATGCCACCAGATCATCAGTCATGTTGATCTGTCAACTCCTCTGTCCTGGAGAGTGACCTCCTAGATCACCTGTAGAAAGGGCCCAGAGGTGTTCTGTTCACTCAGGCCTGGGGACCTGTTCTTGGGTATGTCATCCTCTATTATCTTTCTCTCTGTTCTTTAGTAGTTTTTAGATTATATTAACAAAGTGGTATTTGGGGAAAATAGGCATTTTGAACAAAGTATTCCAAACTGATCAACTCCATTCCATATATCTTAGTTGTTCTGAGGCTCACCACAGAATTCTAAATGCTTGTTATCTAGGAATATGAGACAGTAATGAAAGGTTTGGACCGCAATGCTCCCTCAGTGCCTCCTCAGAATACTCCCCAAGAAGCCCAGCAGGTGGATATGTGGAAGAAATACATACAGTGGGAAAAGAGCAACCCTCTTCGTACAGAAGATCAGACGCTTATCACAAAAAGAGGTAACAGGATTAACCCCCCTGGGACTCCAATTACATATATGTTCAGTCACTTGATATTATCCCATAGGCTATTTTTTGCCTCCAGTCTTTTTTTTCCTCTTATGTTCTTCAGATTCAATAAGTTCTATAGATCCTTCTCCATCCATGTTCACTGACCTTTGTTTTATCATATCCAATCTGCTGTTAGACCCATCCAGTGAAGTCTTCATTTCAGATATTATACTTTTCAGTTCTATATATTTCCATTCTAGAAATTTTGGAGAGTGCATGAGTGGCTCAGTAGGTTAAGCATCCAACCTTGATCTCAGCTCAGGTCTTAATCTCAGGGTCATGAGTTCAAACCCCCATTGGGCTCCACACCCAACATGGTGTCTACTTAAAAAAATATATTGCAGGGGCGCCTGGGTGGCTCAGTGGTTTAAAGCCTCTGCCTTCGGCTCAGGTCATGATCTCAGGATCCTGGGATCGAGCCCCGCGTCGGGCTCTCTGCTCAGCGGGGAGCCTGCTTCCCTTCCTCTCTCTTTCTCTGCCTGCCTCTCTGCCTACTTGTAATCTCTGTCAAATAAATAAAAAAAAATCTTAAAAAAAAAATAAAAATATATATTGCATTTTTTTATAGTTTCTTTTTTATAGTTTCCATTTCTCTGTTGAGATTCTGTGTTTATTAACACCTTTTTCTTTTTATCCTTGAACATATTTATAAGAGTAGTTCTGAAGTTCTAGATGTCTCCCATCATGGAATTGGTTCCTTTATCTTTTGACTGTGGGTCACATCTTCCTATTTTTGTCAGAGTCTAGATGTTTAAAATTTTTCTTTTGGACATTATACAGATGTACAAATGATAAATTGTAAGACTGGGTTCTCTCATCTTCCTCTGAAAAATACTGAGTTTTATTTTAGCAGGGAGTTAAATTATTGACAGATCACCTAGACCTTGTTAGGAAGGATCTATTTTAGTTTTGCCTTTAATTTTATGGTAAATCTCTTTGTCCTGGGACAAAGTCTTTACTCCTTAAACGGAGTGGGAAGTTCAAGGTGTTTGCCCGGAACCTCTAACTTGATGGGATTCAAATTCTAAACTTGATCTCCATTATAGTGGGCAGCTGCTAAGAAACCTATTCAGCTCTTTTAGCCTTCCAGCTTTGCTTTCCACTTGAGCTCTTTGTATTCTTCTGTGTGTAAGTATATTTTAGAGGCCAACTAAAGATTTGAGGGCATTTATGCTCAGATGTTCAGGCACCATTCTCTGTGGCTCTCTCTTTGCTGGGGATTTTCCCCCTTAACTTTCTACCTATTCTCATAGCTCAGAATGCCATGTTACTTCCCTCAAGCCAGTAAGACTTCAGTATTTGACTTGAGATCTAGCTATCCCTGTACACACAGTAATGTGTCCCTGAGGGGAAAAGTCATATTAAATATGGATCTTACCCTGTGTGGTTCTGATTTTTTTAAGGGTTCAATGTTTTTTTGTTTCTGTCTTGGCCAAAAGTTTCTTTTGATCAATCTCCCATGCCTTGAAATAGTTTTTGGGTTTTTTTTGTTTTTTTGGTTTTTTTTGTAAATAAAAAAACCAAAATATGGTTTATGATTTTTATTTTCAGGAGAGTTAGTCTGATAGAAACAACTCTGCTACTGTCAGAACTAGAATTTGGAACTTTAAACAACTCCTCAGTCTTGTCTTATTCTTATCTGTAAGCCTTTGCAGATAATTTCCTTTGTCTACACTATGTCCCCTATTCCTTTCTGAGCTCCACTTACTCTCTGATCTGACCAGATTCTTTCCCTTCCTCAGGTTTTGCTTTAGATGTCAGTTCCTTCGGGAAGCCTTTCTTGAGTCCCTAAACTATGCAGAGTTCTGTTGCTGCAGGCTCAAGAGTACACTGTACTTTTCCTCATTAATAGTTATTATATTTTATAATTGTCTTCATGATATTTTCCCAACACAGGACAGACTCCTTGAGTATAGGAAGACTTTTTTTTTTTTTTTTTTTTAAGATTTTATTTATTTGTTTGACAGAGAGAGAGCACAGCAGGGGGAGCAGCAGCCAGAGGGAGAGGAAGAAGCAGGCTCATCCAGCAGGGAGCCCAATACAGGGCTCGATCCCAGGACTCTGGGATCATGACCTGAGCCGAAGGCAGATGCCCAGTGATTGAGCCACCCAGGCACCCCTTGAGTATAAGAAGTCTTTGTCACTGATACGTTCAGTATCTCTCACATTCCCTAGCATACAGTTTGTGCTCAATAAGTACTAATTTGATAAATGATGGATAAATGGATGGGGCTTAGGTAGATAATGGTGCTAGAAATCATTACAGCTTTTATTTCTAATTATTCTAATAATTGAGGGCTGTTTTAGCCTACTAAGTTAGTAATGATGCTTGTACTGATAGTTTCTTAAATAATATTTTTTTAATTAAATGTTGTGAATGTCTTCCCTAGTTATGTTTGCTTATGAACAGTGCCTGCTTGTACTTGGCCATCACCCTGATATTTGGTATGAAGCTGCCCAGTATCTTGAGCAGTCAAGTAAACTGCTTGCAGAAAAGGGGGTACGTATTCCTTTCCCCCTCTTTGGCCTTTTCATAGTTTTAATAGAGCAATAATTTGCTAAAAATACAACACTGAATTTTGGTAATGAAGTATAGGTATTGAAAATGTTAACCTTACAATATAAAGCTTAGTGACATTGTTATATGTGGCTACCTTAGTCAGAATTAAAATATAGGAACTGTTTTTAATCTATTAAAATGAGCCATTTAGAATACTTGAATGATTCTTCTGTGTGTTAAGAAGTCTTTGGAATTTTTTTAGAATCCAGAAGTGCATATGTATCCATATGTATATATGTGAGTGTCTGTTTCATTCTCTTTCAGCTCTATGAAAATTATTGAAGAATGAACTTTCTTTTTTTTCTCCTAGGATATGAATAATGCCAAATTATTTAGTGATGAAGCTGCTAATATATATGAAAGAGCTATAAGCACTTTATTAAAGAAGAATATGCTTCTTTATTTTGCATATGCAGATTATGAAGAGGTCAGTAACAATATTTAGAACTTTCTTAAAATTGGATTTTTTACTGCAGGACTAAATTTTTTTCTGACTGCTTCTTTGCCAGGTATATTGCTTTTGGTATAGATGATGCAAAATGAACAGTTATTAGTCCTCAGCTCATTACATATTTATGTTCAAAGCAGGTGCCATTGTGGGGTATAGCCTCTAAATTCCTCAGAGCTCCAATCCGGCTTGTTTATGACTGTCTACTTATATCCACTTCTTCTCTACCACCCTAGAGTCGCATGAAGTATGAGAAAGTTCACAGTATATATAACAGACTTCTGGCAATTGAGGATATTGACCCAACCTTGGTGAGTAACATTATGTCTCTTTACCACCTTTGCAGGCAGCTTTAACAAAAATTTTTATTTTACATACATTAAAACTCACTGGTTTTTTGGTATAGTTCCATGAATCTAGACCAGTAACATTGAGTCATGGGACCACCATCACAATTAAGATACAAAACACTTATATCACCTCACAGAAATTCCCTCAAGTGACCCCTTTATAGTCAATTACTGATCTCTTCTTTCTTTCTTTTCTTATTTTATTTTTAAAGATTTTATTTATTTGACAGAGAGAGAGAGAGAGACAGAGATCACAAGTAGGCAGAGAGGCAGGCAGAGAGAGAGGGAAGCAGGTTCCCCGCTGAGCAGAGAGCGCAATGCAGGGCTCTATCCTAGGATCCTGACATCATGACCTGAGCCAAAGGCAGAAGAAGCTTAACCCACTGAGCCACTCTTATGTAGACTGCACACCCAGTGTGGGTCTTGGACTCACAGCCCTGAGATCAAGAGTAGCATGCTTTACCAACTGAGCCAGCTAAGCACCCCCTCAGGGTTTTTTTTAATGCAGCCGTATGAAGCAGTGGTGCTTTCTCTTAATACCTTCCTCGTGATTATGGTTTAAAGCCATTTATGCCACATAATTGTTGCCTAATAAATATTTCTTTTTAAATAAATGGAAACAAGAGAAGCCAACATTCTGGGAAGAAATTAGACAGGAACTCACTATATCCTGAATTCTGCTCCATAATAGTGGTTTTCAAAGCCCTGAGTTTCTGTAAGAATGCAATGAAGCTCTTTGATCCAGAGGGCAAGGGCACTGGTGGGTGTGCGCAGCTCTAGAGCCTCTTCCTGAAGTCAGATCTGTTCTGCTTTTTGGTTTATTTGTATTGGGATTCCACTGTTTTGATTGCTTGCATTTATTCATATTTTAAAATTCATTTAGGAGGGGCGCCTGGGTGGCTCAGTGGGTTAAAGCCTCTGCCTTCAGCTCAGGTCATGATCCCGGGGTTCTGGTTATCGAGCTTCGCATAGGGCTCTCCGCTTGGCAGGGAGCCTGCTTCCCCCCCCCGCCCCCTGTCTACTTGTGATCCCTGTCTCAAATAAATAAATAAAATATTTTTTTAAAAATTCATTTAGGGGAGGGGCACCTGGGTGCTCAGTGGGTTAAGGCCTCTGCCTTCAGCTCAGGTCATGATCCTGGGGTTCTGGGATCGAGCCCCGCATCGGGCTCTCTGCTCCGTGGGGGGCCTGCTTCCCTCTCTCTCTCTGCCTCTCTGCCTACTTGTGATCTCTGTCTGTCAAATAAATAAATAAAATCTTTAAAAAAAAAAATTCATTTAGGGGAGTCTGGTTGGCTCAGTCATTGCCTGCCTGCCTTTGACTCAGTCATGATCCCAGGGTCCTGGGCTCAAGCCCCGCATCGGGCTCCCTACTCAGTGGGAAACCTTCTCCCTCTTCCACTCCCTCTGCCTGTGTTCTCTCTCTCGCTGTGTCTCTCTCTGCCAAATAAATAAATAAAATTAAAATTAATAAATATAAATAAAATTCATTTAGTGAACTGTTCTGTGCACTAGAACTTTTCTGTTCTAGTTCTGAACTAGATTCCAGAAGTACAATGACAAATTAGAGAAAATCCCTCTCCTCAAGAAACTCATAGTTCATTCATCCATACATATATCTATCATCCATACATCTATCAAAACTGGGTAACATAGTTTGACATGAAAACTGCGCAAATCAGGACTCTACTCTTAGTCCAGAAACATTTGCTCATTGAACAAATATTATATATTTATCATGTATTGTGCACTCTCTGGTGCTTAGTATAAAATGACTCATTAATAGTTTATCAGTAAAGTTACATTATATGGTCTTTGGAAAAATAGTGTTAGTGGGCTTTTAAAGCAATAAACCAAGAAAATGTAAAGTTAAACATATATTATTAAACATGCTTGTATTAGATTAAATCTTGAGTTTTAGGTGTTGGCATTTATTAATGGAATGTTTTCTTTTTTTTTTTAAGATTTTATTTATTTATTTGACAGACAGAGATCACAAGTAGGCAGAGAGGCAGGCAGAGAGAGGGGGAAGCAGGCTCCCAGCCGAGCAGAGAGCCTGATGTGGGGCTCGATCCCAGGACCCTGGGATCATGACCCGAGCCGAGGGCAGAGGCTTTAACCCGCTGAGCCACCCAGGTGCCCCTGGAATGTTTTCTAATGGTTTTACTTTTATTACCTCCTTATAATTTAATTGCATACTTAGGAATTAGATAGTAGTGATGATTATACAACCTCATGCATATACTAAAAACCATTGTGCACTCTAAAGGGTGAATTTTGTGGTATGTGAATTATGTATCAATTTTTAAAAATTTATTTCCATTAAAAAATTTAATTTGCATGCATCTCTAATACCAGAAAAAAATTGCTTGTGGACTTAAAGAGAGCACTATTTATAAGCTTACTTTCTGATATCTTGGGTATTCAATACAGGAAACATACTAGTATAAGAATAAGGTGAGACTGTTTTGGATGCTACAGGGATCACATTCTGCCTAATCTGTAGAAAAGAAATTCCTTTTTTTTTGCATAGGTATATATCCAATATATGAAATTTGCAAGAAGAGCAGAAGGTATCAAATCTGGAAGAATGATATTTAAAAAAGCAAGAGAAGATACCAGAACCCGCCACCACGTCTATGTTACTGCAGCACTCATGGAGTATTACTGTAGTAAGGTAAGTGATGAAATAAAATAGAAAGGTAAAATAGTTTCTTTCATCTGAGATACATTAAAAAAAAAAGGTAGTCTTAGTTTCTGTCCTTAAGTTTTAATTGCCCTGTATCGTAAAGGAAGTCTAAGTGTATCTGTAAAATTATATGGAGCATCATCCAAATCCCCACTGTCTGCTAATTGATGACTTATTAAACACCTTGGCTTTGAACGCAGCAGTTTTTACTTAATATGATTTTAATTTCCATTTTAATACTTTATGTAACTGGCTTAGGTGTCATAGTTTTAATATTGTTTTGAGTATCTTGTCTGACATTTCATAGAAATCAGTACATTCCTTTCTACTTCCAGGACAAATCTGTTGCCTTTAAGATTTTTGAGCTGGGTCTAAAGAAATATGGAGACATTCCAGAATATGTCTTGGCCTATATTGATTATCTTTCCCACCTGAATGGTAAGTCAGTTTTAGATCTGTAATGGTTATGTAATTAATACTAAACCCTCAATATCATTCTCTGAAAATATGTTGCTGGGTTTCTTTTTTCTTAAATATATTATAATTCTGTCATCACAATGGAACCAGGCACTTACTAGGCACTCAGGAAATATTTGTGGCCTAACAACCATAAATTTGTATTTGAGTAATGGTAGATGCTTTTGACTCTGCAGAATGGTCTTTAATACCTCATCAGTGACGTCCCATCACTAGTAGGATAAAGCCACAAATTCAGACTTGGGAAAAAGAGTTGTTCATGCTCGTCTCTGTTTCCTGGGTCAGGGGTGGAAGAACAGACAACAAATATTTAGCCACCAAAACTCAAAGATGCCCAAGTAGTAAAGTGAAATGCTTGGAGGCTATTAGAGAAGAGATTTCAAAAAGAAACATTATGTTTATTACCATCTTTATTTCTCTACCCTGTTGTAACATTAAGATCCGACCTTATACCTGGCACAGGGCTGAGGGATTCATATAATGAATACATATGTATGTCTCATTTAGTCTAGTTACCCACAGTCTAGTACATGAAATTTCTTGACTAGAAATGATCTGGCATAAAAGTTGGTTTAAGAAAGAAATGTACAGGGGCTCCTGGGTGGCTCAGTGGGTTAAAGCCTCTGCTTTCGACTCGGGTCATGATCCCGAGGTCCTGGGATCAAGCCCCGCATCGGGCTCTCTGCTCAGCAGGGAGCCTGCTTCCCTCTCTCTCTGCCTGCCTCTCTGCCTACTTGTGATCTCTGTCAAATAAATTTTTAAAAAAAATTAAAAAAAAGAAAAATGTATAATTACGTGCCATTTAAATGAGTTAGATATTACCGCTATCAATTCTTTGATATTTTTAAAATATGTAGCATTCTTTATACCTATATAGTAAAAAAGAATAAAACTTAAAAACAATTTGGTATTTTATTTTATTTTATTTTTTTTTAAAGATTTTTTTTTTTATTAATTTATTTGACAGACAGAGATCACAAGTAGGCAGAGAGGCAGGCAGAGAGAGAGGAGGAAGCAGGCTCCCTGCCGAGCAGAGAGCCCGATGTGGGGCTCGATCCCAGGACCCTAGGATCATGACCTGAGTCGAAGGCAGAGGCCCAACCACTGAGCCACCCAGGCGCCCCCAATTTGGTATTTTAGCTGAGTGATTTTATACTCTGGAAAAGGACTTTAACTCCAAAAAATGAGACAGTGGAGCATTTAATTAAGAAGAAATTTTCTCTTATAGAATTGTTCGTTGGCTGCCTGGGTGACTTAGTAGGCTAAGCATCTTCCTTTGGCTCAGGTCATGATCTCAGAGTCCTGGTACTGAGTCCCCCATTGGGCTACCTGCTCAGCGGGAGTCTGCTTCTTCCTCTGTTCCTCTCTACTCATACTCTCTCTTTTTCTCTCACAAATAAATAAAATCTTAAAAAAAAAAAAAGATAAAAGGCAAGTGGGATACCTCACACAGATACCAGTTATAAATCGTCTGTCATAAATGCAGTACATATAGGAGGGCCATACTACAGGTAAAAAAAAAGACCTGGCTTCTAGTTCTAGCTGTTACTCAGTAACAGTAAGCCAGATCAACTCAATAGTTTTTTTAAGATTTTATTTGTCAGAGCGTGCTCATAAGCATGGGGAGAGGTAGGCAGAGGGAGGCAGAGGCACAGGTTCCCCACTGCGCAAGGAGCCTGATGCAGGACGGGATCCCAGGACCCTGGGATCATGACCTGAGCCAAAGGCAGCCACTTAATGGACTGAGACACCCAGGCATCTCCAACTCAATTGTTTTGAACCCCAGGTTAATTCATCTACAAAAACTGGGGAAATAGTTAACTTTTTGCAGAGGATTTTGTGAGAATTAAACGAGATGAAGCATGTGTAAATACACTGTTGATTGTAAAATGTAATTTTTCAATGTTTAAAATCTTTTTTGTATCCTAGAGGACAATAATACCCGAGTTTTGTTTGAACGAGTCTTAACCTCTGGAAGCCTTCCTCCTGAGAAGTCTGGGTAAGCTGTTCAGAAAACTTGTTGGTCGGGTTCTGATGGCAGTTTTAATACTTGAATTGTGCTGTGGATAAATGTTTAGAAGTTTCAGAAGAAATTTCCCTTCTCTCTTGAAGCTTAATTTACAAATACCTGCCTGTTTTGTTTTTTTTTTTAAAGATTTTATTTATTTATTGGACAGAGATCACAAGTAGGCAGAGAGGCAGGCAGAGAGAGAGAAGAGGAAGCAGGCTCCCTGCTGAGCAGAGAGCCCGATGCGGGGCTCGATCCCAGAACCCTGGAATCATGACCGGAGCCAAAGGCAGAGGCTTTAACCCACTGAGCCTCCCAGGCGCCCCACAAATACCTGCCTGTTTAAGATATTTTTTAAGTGTTTATATACTGAGTAGAATTGAGAGAGGTGTTGGCCATTTATTATTAAATATTTTAATATTCTTCCTAGTTTAGTATGCCCTAGAAATTGATATAAACAAATAAAGTTTCTGAAAATTTTACCATGGGGCAAAAACTCTTACATATTCAAAGTTTGTTTGATATATTGCATCCCTGGTTTATGCTTTTGACTGTCCGTTTTATCAAACAGGAATATGGTATAGTGGTACAGTGGAAATAATAAGGCTTTGGAGTCTTGGGTTCAAATTCCAGCTCAGCCGATGACCCCCTAGATACATTTCATAACCTTTCCAAACCTTAGCTCATCAAATAATAATGTCTGCCAACACGGGCTTTTTATAGTAGTCCCGCTCCTGGTATGTAGTAGGCTTCCGTGTGTTACTTGAGTACAAACGTGTTTAATGACATTTGAGTCTCAGAAAATTAATTCTGGCTGTCAACAACAGTTCTGAGGTACAAATATGTCCCAAATAATCCATGTTAATGAGAAAACAAAAGGAAGCATGTTCGATTTTAGAATATATTTTTATTCATACATTGAGTGAAGACTATATTCCACATAATAATTCATGCCACTAAACAAAATGGTGAAGCCACATTACTCAGGAGAAATTGGAAGTCTGTATATGTTCCTTTTTCAGCTCTTCCACTAAGATTTTACCCTCTTTAAGGTAAATGTGTCTCTTACCACAAGGGGATAGGAAGATGTGCTAAATAAATCTAAAAAAAAAGTTTAAACATACAAATGTGCAGGATGAAGTGTTATCTATAACTTACTTTCAAGTACTTAAGCAAAAGCAAGGTGAAACCAATATGGCAAAATATTAACAATGATTAAATCTAGGTAATGATGATGGTCTATAGATATTTGTTATACTGTCCTTAAGTTTGGAAATCTTAATTAAAAAAAGCTTTTTCTACTTAAAAAAAGGGATGAGGGAACTTCAGGCTTTTTTTGTGAATGGACTCCCTATTCCAAACCTAGAATAATTAAGTACTGATTGTATTTATTACAGAGAAATCTGGGCCCGATTTCTAGCTTTTGAAAGTAACATTGGTGATCTAGCTAGCATACTCAAAGTGGAGAAAAGACGGTTTACAGCATTCAAAGAAGAGTATGAAGGCAAAGAAACAGCTTTACTGGTGGATAGATATAAGTTCATGGACTTATATCCTTGCTCGGCAAGTGAACTAAAAGCACTTGGTTATAAGGTATGTACTTGGGATCAAGAGATATGTAGTAGCCCTACTTGCCCCATGTTTTAGAATAGTTTATGGATACAATCCATTTAAAGCAAATTCTGAACCAGAAATTAGTTTTAGAATAGATTTTCAGAAAATGGGGGAAAAGTTCAGGGCTTTTCCTTGAGTTTATGAAACGTTAAGTATCAAAAGTATTGAACAACATAGTGAGGTTTAACAATTTCAGCCTTCCCCTGAAATCGCCAGTGCCCTGTATCTTTTGTCTGCTGCGCACATGAAGGTATTGTGGAAGGAAGAAAAAATGTCATTTTAGGTATTGTTTTTTCTAATAGTTCTTAAAATTGACGAACGTGTTTTGACAGATCTTAAACCAAATGTAGCTTCTGTAGGTATAATGAAGAAACCTCACAGCTTGTTAAAAGTCCATAAAGTTCCTGAGGGGATTTTTGTATTTTAACATAGTACGTCAGAGGGTTCTTGGGGAAATTAGCTTATCTGGGAATGGAACTCATCTATATAGACAACAGAATCATAAGAAATCTGACCCCTGAACCTGTTCAGGCTAAGATTAATGTTTATGCAGCTCCAGAAATAACCCTTGCTGAGAAAAACATTGTTCTATTGTTTCTTGATTTTTCCTGTGTCATGAAAACAAAGACCAAGATGGAATTCCAAAGGGAAGCTATAGCCACAGATCCTAGATTTGGGTCCCTTTAAGCCAACCAGCATTAGGATACTCTTGACCATCATTCTCCTCAGGAGTCTCTTCTGGCCTGTGTCTTGCTGGTTTGGTGTGTGAACCAGATTTAAATGGGGAAAATGACCCATAATTGAAGCTTCAGATTTTTCATTGGTGGAAGCCCTAGTTCTGTGCCAGTCCCAGCTTCCTATTCTATAACTACTCTGACTGCTCAGGGATCAGGAAATTTAGCTTCTAGTTTAACTTCTCAATGAAAAGCAAAAGACCTTTAAGATCACCTATTAGCAAGGACTATTTCAACTTTGCCAAGATGAAAATGGAAATTAATGAAAATAGAGCTCTATTTCCAAGTTGAACTACTTCTTAAATATGAATTCTCCATCTTCTATTTCTATTTCAACTCTTTTTATTTGAGGGGAGAATTAAATATATTCCCATGTGTATAAAATGTGAGTGGGAAGAGAAAAAAAGCCATCCGCAATGGGCCTACTTATTGAGATTTGCCACCATGAGGTGGCATATGAGCAGATTCTGAGAGAGTGAGATGTTCTTCTACCTCTGTGATGGCAAAAGGGGCTCTGGACAGGCTGACACCAGTGCCTGCAGCAGAGGAACTTCTCTGTTCCCTCTCAGTTCTCTTCCTGTGGTTTGAACCCAGTTATTCTCAGTGTATCCTCAAGATTGTAGAGTTGCACAATTATATTCAAGTCCCTTTTTCAGGTTTAGGATTCTTCTGTTCTGCATTTTCAGGATGTCTCCCGTGCTAAGCTAGCAGCTATCATTCCAGACCCAGTGGTAGCTCCTTCTATAGTGCCTGTTCTGAAAGATGAAGTGGATAGAAAACCAGAATACCCTAAACCAGACACTCAGCAGATGATTCCATTTCAGCCACGACATTTAGCACGTAAGCCATGACTTTTAGACCCAGTACTGAGACCTCTGTGTATTGGTTCAGATCCAGAGGTGGGGGGGACTGATGTGACCTTTCCATTGCAGGTTAATTATTAGACTCAGGGTCACTATGATAAGTGACTTGGCTATAATTTTTGCCGCAAACTGAGTTAAGAATGTCCTTAAAAACAAAAATACCCTCAATGATTCAGATTCCAGCAACCAGTTTGGGCAGAAATGCTGCTCCCTACGAATTACCCGTACAACTGGACACTCACTCCAGCGATGCTGTCTGGTATTACTTACACTTACTAATGGGTAGTAGCGCCTCTCGATCCTATTTGAACAAGGCCCTTATGATTAAACATGCTGTTGAGTAGCCGACTTTAAACAGGATTGCCGCACACATGACTTACGAGGCTTAGAAATTGGTCTTTGACAAAAACTGACGTCCCACCCCTGGATTGTTTACTTTTCTGCCTCCCAGCGGCTGTGGGGGTGAGAGGGCGCTCTCTCCTCCACTTTAGCTGGTCAAACATGTGAAGCACGAAAGGCAATTTAAAATGTTCAGAACAAAGCAACACAGACCTAGAACTCTCTGTATAGATTACTTCTGATTTATTTTAGCCCTGTGTAGAAATTCTTCCATCCTGTGATCCCCCTTCTCCTTGTGTCACAGCACCCGGCTTGCACCCTGTTCCTGGGGGCGTTTTCCCAGTGCCGCCTGCGGCCGTCGTTCTAATGAAACTTCTCCCTCCTCCCATCTGCTTCCAGGTTTGTTTACTATTATTTTCTTGATAATACTTGCTCTGTGGGTTATAATACTTGTGTGCTTTTTCTTGTCTTACGGAAAATGTAAAGTCGTGTGATTTTAACTTGTCAATTATTGGGGATTAAAATTTATTTGTGTCAAAATAGGGTCCTTTTGTACAAGTGGATGAACTGATGGAAATTTTCCGAAGATGCAAGATACCAAATAGTAAGTGGTGAAGGCTCCGCTTTAGGGCCGAATTTACTCCGTCTTCTAGGCAGGAGATCGTTATTCTTTGCCGCTTTAGTTTCCAAATCCAGCTAGCCATCTTGCTGTAACCTGAAGCCTCAGAGCGATCAAACCCTCTTTGGTACAGAGAGGCTCCTTCACTCATCCTGTGATGAGTAAAACATCACAAAAGCAGGTCTTTTCTATTCATGGGAACACGCACTAGGACACTGGGCTTCTGAAAGTCCTTATAAGAGCCGCTTTTGTCTTTTCCTCTAATTATGTAGCATCACTACTGCCCTCCCTTGCTCTGCCAGTAGCAGGTTCTGAAACCAACCGCAAATGTGTCAGGCGGCGCCTGCAGAGTCTCTCCCCAGAGCGGACTCTGCAGCGCCCCCAACAGGCCTTTCCGTGTGGTTTGCGCAGCCGTCGAGGAAGCCGTGCGGATCATTACAGGCGGCGCCCCGGAGCTGGCGGTGGAGGGGAACGGCCCGGTGGAGAGCAACGCCGTACTCACCAAAGCGGTCAAGAGGCCCAACGAAGATTCCGACGACGATGAAGAAAAGGGAGCCGTCGTTCCCCCCGTTCATGACATCTACAGAGCACGGCAGCAGAAGCGAATTCGGTGAGGCGGGCTCCAACCAGCCTCTGGAAGAAAACTCCAGGATTCCGTTTTTTGCCTCTTAAGTCGTATGTTTAAGAGACAATGCTTTGTTACAAGGTTCTTGGAAACAAAGTTGTATTGTCATTGGTGCCTCTATCATATGGTTCTTGAGAAAAAAACCAACCAACCTGTGTGAATTTTAGAATATGGAACAGATCTGTGCTCTAAGCAAAACTAGGTTTTCAAAAATGTGAGAACAGCACAAAATGGCAGAACCACATTTTGTTCCCTCTTCAAGGGTGTCTTGTATGTGCCGCTTGAAGATTTGTGAGTTTTCAACAGTTTTATTTTAAAAACTGGATGGCTTATGATTGTAAAGCATTTTATCACATTTTCTGAAAACAGTTCTGTTTGCTTATGTAGAGTCCTGCCTTATTGTTTGTTTTTATTTATGGCAGAATGTATGGAACCGGTTTTGTAGTTTAAAATTTTAAAACAATCCTTTAAAAAAAATAAAAGGATCTCAAAAATGTCATGCCTCCTGCTGCTTCCATTCAGAATTTATTTAAAATAGCTACTTATTCAGCCAATACCTTTTAAAAATAAATGCCAATACAAAGAAAAGTCATCTTGTATTTACTCTATGTACACTTACCTACTTGTCCTCTCCTGGCCTCAGTGCTAACTGTAAACAAAGAGATCTGATTTTAAGAGACAAATTAAACATTTTAGAAATCCTCAAATTAAAAAAAGAAAAAAGAAAAAAGAAATCCTCAAATATGAATGTTCTTTCCCCCAGTCCGAGGCAGATATATTACCTTTCATGTCTCTTAAAAGCAATGTGTGGGAATTCCTTTCAACCACCCACTGTCTTGTTCTCACAAATGTATTTCAGAAGGTACTCCATGCTCAAGAACATGTTCTTCAGGAGCTACGCGCAGATAGCATTAAATTCTAAGTCCCAAGAATTCGGTTTCATGCTTTGTTAGCAACATTACCTCCTCTTGACTCATTTCTAGAAAAACTATTAGACACAGAACTAGTTGAGCCTAAGGACTGTGATTCAGAATAAAAGCTAAAAGGAAGGGGAAAAAAGGAAAAGTATTACACTTATAAAGACACTTACAAATTGGGTATGCAATTTAGAATTTGAATTCAAAAGTGATTAAATACATTTTAAAATCAGCTTCAAATACTTCTACAAAACTCTTGCTTTTAATGGAAAAGACGTTATCTTGAATCTTTTTCTTGCATAAGCTTATACGTAGCCAGGTAATACATAATTCAAAGCATGTGTCTCCTGTATTTTTCCCATTAAGGCTAAAATGTTATCCTATAAACAGTCAGCTGGCTCTAATTCAGACTGTGTTATCCTCTCAAGTATCGCTTTTAAGCTGTGTAGCTTCTTCTTAATATGGTTGTCATCAAAACAATCTGAAAGGCACAAGTAGTGCCACATAACTTCCCAGGAGTTAAAATACAGAGGTGCAGACTCTCCTGAAGTGCTATCTTTGGGTCGTGTTTCTGGGTTTTCTTTGTTTTGTTTCTAATTATTATTAACATATAACGTATTATTTCTTTCGGGGCAGAGGCCTGATTCATGAGTCTTACACAATTCACAGCGCTCACCATAGCACATACCCTCCCCAGTGTCTGTCGCCCAGCTACTTTGGGCGGCATTTTAAAGACAAATGGCTTCAAATGCCTGTAATGTCTGCATGAACGACAAAACAAAGCTCTGTGAATGCATGAAAAATGTTTTTTTTTTAGCATCGTAATAAAGAAAACACACGCGCGCTGACCCTGATGAAAAGTGCCACTGAGCAGCCATTGGGGCATTATAATTGTTCCTACTCCATTTATTTCTTAGATGTTTTTTCCCCTGAATGTCGTTTGATCTATAAACACAAAAAGGATTATTTGTTAGGAGAAACCATTTTCTAATGTTCTGCTATACATATATGAATGTTTAGATTTTAACATGATTCTGCATATTTGATCATTCCCTTTGTAGACACAGTTGATCAAGCAGCATGGTGTTAGAAATCTGCACTTACTTTTGGAACTCTAACGTGCGGATGCTCGTACAGCCAGTCCCACTTGTCCAGGAACTCTCCTGTGTCCATAGTGCTAGACCCAGACATTTCCAAAAGATAGCCATATTTTTTCTTCTTATAAAAGCAAAAGCAAGGACATTTTCTAGATAATTCTAGAACCCAGTAAGATGAAAAGACTCTAAGTCCTTCCTGAACAAAATCAGTCAAACTCTAGCTGCTAGCACTGAATTTCACATGAGAGGTTTTATCTGTGTTGCCACTCCTAGTAAAGTAAAAGGTAGTAGCTACTAAGTAAATGTAAAACTCAACAACCAAATTTGTACCATTAGAAAAGAATGAAAAGATATGCTTTGTCAGCATATTAACCTATATCAATAATTATAAATTTATTTGGTAATTTTATAACCCTCTACTGGCCTGTGCTTAGCATGTAAAACCAAGAGTTCATTTATAAGACAGTAAAAGCATAGTTACCGTGTTCATAAATTGTTTACAATATTTCAGTTCCCAAAGCAAACTTCCTTAATGTCGGCAGTCCTCTTACCTGACACTCAGCAAGTGAAGTTCTACTTGCTATATTTTTAAGTGAAGTTCTATTTAATAAAAATTTCAGAAGTCCTGACAGGTCATTTATACAAAGTAACAAAACTCCGGTACCATGTTCCTGATCTAAGTAAAATCTTACATATTCAACAAAAGGGTCAGCTTACCAAGCTTTGGGAATAAAAACAATTCATCCATTTTCTAAATTTTCCTCCCTGAACCCTGACCAGAGTTCTGCTTTGAGCACAACGACGAAGACAGTACTTCAGAAAGCGGAGGCGGCAGGAATGAAAACAATGGAAATGAAGGCGCTTCTTCAGTTCTGGGGTTGCTCTTTAAGTCAGAAGTTACTCTTAAACCATTCTTGGTGTTCAGTTCAGAAAAAAATGTAAAAATGTTGAAACGTGGCTAGTGCTACTAACATCAGACCCATCTGATTTCAAACCTAAACCAGGCCTACACATAGTCCTAGTTCTTAGGTTCTGAAGGCAATAGAAACAGAAACCCCCAGCGGGGCTGGGAACAACTACATCCTGCCTGTTTAGGTTCCAGACACTTACTTTCCAGGGCTCTAGCTCTTTCGGAAGGGATCAGTGAGCATTTGACAAATTAAAAGAGCTTATTGTGCTTACAGACTATCTCCTCCTCCACCCCACGAAGTTGTCTTGAGCACTATGAACAAAATAGTTCTAGAATACAAAATCCAATATTAAGACACAATTGCAAACATCATTGTGGTTCTTTATTTAGAATATGTTTTCAATGAGATAAATGCCTTTAAATAGGAGTTTCATAGCCAATCATCTGCCATCCTTCATTTGTTCACTCATGCAATTGTTTAGTTCAAATAATACAGAGGTAAGAGTGGGGAGGAATCGGTGGGTGGCGATGGAAGTAGGGAGAGGAGCAGCGGGAAGACCAGCTTTAGTACAGAAGAGATGACGGAAGAAAAGCACAAATCCCAGGACAGGAGGAAACCCTTCTGTCCAGCCTGCAAAATGCACTCACTGAAGGGAAGCGAGGCACAGACACAGGTACACCTACGCGGAGAGGGTTATATGCTCTCCTCGGTTGTTAACAAGGCAATTCATAGTCCCTTCCCTGTACAAAGCATTCTAATATCCATTCTCAAATGTAATCCTCACAGGAAGTGTGAGTGAGTCGTTTCCCCGTTTTACACATGAAAATACAGGAGCCCGAGGGACAATGACTGGCCCACTATCACACAACTAGTAAGAAGGCAACAGAGGAGGGACTCCAACCCAGACGGTCCCCTCAATCAGGAGCTTTGTGCACGATCCTACTGCAGTGTACTTAATCACTCCCCTGAGACACATCACAGAATGTCAGGACTGGAAAGCGTTTAATGATCAAGTCTATTCCTTTCGTTTTACATGTGCTAGAAATAGGTCCTGATTTGCTCTAGTTAGTATGTAACAGAAATGGGGTCAGAATCTGGCTTCTTGGCAGCTCCCAGTCTTTACACTCTACGACTCGGCCTCAAAATGAAAATTAATGCAAACGTTCTACACAGAAACCAGAGCATGCCAAAAATCCCCGGACATCAAAGAGCAAATACCTCTTTCCTTTGTAACTCAGCAGGAAAGGCGGTCCACCAACACCTCTTGATTCCCGGGAATTGTGCTGTTTTAGAGAAATGAACATAAGCACCTCCCCAAAAACAGAACTGCTAAATAACCCATCAATCGTCAGCCAGTATCTGCACGTTATAAGCGTGCTATGTCAGACTTATTCATAACTTTTCTTCCGAGAAAAAAGCTCTTACACACCTGTTTACTGTGTTCTATCAGTAAGATATCCTTAGCTGAAGTATACTTTCAGTCAGGTTATATGGTTACATAAACAATCGCGTTGTACAGCTTGCTTTAAATGTAATGAGATTTTCAGGGGCGCCTGGGTGGCTCAGTGGGTTAAGCCTCTGCCTTCAGCTCAGGTCATGATCTCAGGGTCCTGGGATCGAGCCCTGCGTCGGGCTCTCTGCTCAGCAGGGAGCCTGCTTCCCCACCCCACACCCTGCCTGCCTCTCTATTTGTGATCTCTGTCAAATAAAATAAATAAATAAATCTTTAAAAAAATAAATAAAATAAATGTGATGAGATTTTCAAAAAACACCTAGGCTGAGAATCCATCCACCCAACCAAGAGCTGACAAAGTAGCAGTTACTGCTCTAGACGTTCATGCATCCGTGAGACCATCAGATCAATTGAACACAGTTGCGATGATGGACCGAACTCTCAAGGTGCTTGGTTCTATCCACAGTAAAGCACTACCGCCAAATAAACCCAGCACTTTCCTAAAACACGCTTGTTTCCACAAACCTGTTAGGTAGAAAAATCACGTCAAATCCAATCAGAGTGCATTATATAGAACCAGTTCAATTCTGAAAGATAATTTCTGCTCCAAAGGATACGTATCTTGGAGGGAGAGCTGGGGGGATGGGGGGGGCGTGGATTACAAGGAGATGCTCAACAAACATTTCCTGAGGGACCAAATGAAGTTTCCTGGCCCTTAGTGATAATCCTATGAGATTCCAGGAAGTAGCTCACTTATCTTCAAAGAACAACAAAATTCAATATGAATATTGCGATTCTGAACTTTGCCTCCCTCCTTCTTGGCTTTGCCACCTGGAGAACTCTGCTAGTAGACACTGAGGTAGGGGTGGGGGGGTGCGGGGAGAGGAGAATCTGTGCAGGTTCCTGTAAAATATGCATCAAGATTTCAAATGGCACAAACTTAACTCTGTGAATTTAGGAACCCATGGTGGGGGGCGGGAAATCTGGTAGAAAGCGAACCCTTAGAAAAGGCAGCAAAAAAAAGAACTTTAAAGATTTAGGAAGAATGACTATAGGAAGTGGTCATCCACCCCTTCACTCAAGGATGAAGGGTAAAGCTCCTCCCCTTCATCCTTGACTGAGGCAGGACAAGACCCCAAACACTCAGAGGCTGAGGCAGGCAAGAGAGTGAAAGAGGGCTGGGGGGGAGGGCTGCGACAGGCTGGAGGCTCAGTCAGTAGAGCATGTGACTCCTGAACCCTGGGTCATGAGTTCAAGCCCCGTGCTGGGCATGGAGCCTACTTAAAGCGCGCTCGGGCTTCTCAGCCTGGGAGATGGGGGGCCCCCATGACCAACAAGCACGGCTGCCACAGAGCAACCTCAGCTCCAGAAACAATTCCAGAAGCGACCTCATTTGAAGACACACTGTAAAAGACGTGATTTTGTCCTTTTAAAGCTCTACTTACTGAACTTCTATTCACTTCCAATGAAACCAGGGAAGATTTGACTTTGAGTATAAACTTTATAGGACTTCTGACCACATAACGCAGCATACTTTTCTGACTGCAAGTAGAAAACACTATTAGAACATAGTTTGTAGCACAGATTTGGAGAAATCACAGTCCCCCCACCCCAGCACAAGCGTACCGTCTCCTGAAGCTCGGTACCACTCGATAGTCACAGAGTGAACGTTCCTCTGGCGGGAGGCCAACACGCCTGCCTCCGGCCCCACCGCAGCCCCCACCACTTTGAGGGATTCCCTGCATTATTTTTCCTTGTGCTGTTCCTGGACTTGGAGTTCACACCCAACTTCATGGCTCTGCTTCTGACAGAGTGTCCCTGTCTAAAACACGCACGTACACACACTCACACGCACACACACCTTTTACTTTTTATTCTAAGAGAGTGGGTCATCTGTGAGAGCCCAGCCACCCTTTCAGCCACAAGATAGGTATGTCAGGAATTCCAATCACTGAAGTTCCTCAAAAAATACTGCTCCCAAACCAGGGATTTTCTAGGACTTCCTTTATCCCAGAAATAAGTGAGCTTACACTATACTGTTTTATCTGAAAACACTTTAAATCTATTTCTGAAATTCAAATCCAATCAATACATCTGTGTATTGTATCAGTGAATTTTTCAGTAAAAACTCCAGTGTCTTTTAAATTACACCAACATATATATGGTTTAAAAAAATATTTCCTCCTTAACTTTCAAAGCTTAAAAGTCAAAGAATTTCCTTTCTCTAGATCCCAGAAGTCATAACTGCTATCATCCAGGCTCAGAAATAATTCTGTATAAAAGAATAAGTTTTTAAAAATCAATTAACTCCCCTCTAGAACAAAAGGGCTCTGGAGCTCTGGCTAGGCCAGGCAGGGAGAAAGCAATCAAAGGGGTACAGGGAGGCAATAAGCCTTGGTATAGCCCTTCCAACACAAAACAGCTGGGGGGGGGGGGGTGGGGGGGGGGGGGGGGGGGGGTGCCAGGCAGGGGGGGGAAGAGTGAGGGTCGGTGCCAGGGAGCAGGGAAGAGTGAGGGTCGGTGCCAGGCAGGGGGGAAGAGTGAGGGTCGGTGCCAGACAGGGGGCAAAGTCTCAACACGGTCATGGCTTGGTCTCTCATTCTCGGTGGCTGGCAGATCCTCTTGGGTGTCTGAAAGGAAAACTACCCAGATGGTGGAAGAGAGGCCCCAGCCCCCCCGGAAAGACAAGGCAGCTGTAATCAGGACAGAGTCGGGTGCAGACACGCGGCTGTTAACCGTTTAAGAGCGGAGTGCCCCCTCAAACGTAAGAGAACAAGAAGCTTCTTGATTTGTAAACTTGCACTCATAAATATAAACCTTCAAACTGGAATTCAGGGCCTTTTTCAACAACCCTTTTCAACAGTGATACACAGTATTCTTCCCTTTGGAATCAGGGCTCTTACACAGAAATGTACTAAATAGCCATTTTCCAAAGCAACACGAGAGTCGAGAATAGGTATTCTGTATCGAGAGGCTAATACCACCGCCGCCGGAGAGCGCAGGCGCGTCAGGATCGCACAAGGATCTTACTGAGGATGGCGTCGTAGTAGGGACTGAAGACCATCTTGTTATAGTTGACCAGGCGGACAAATTTAATAGCAACTTCCTCCAGCTCTTTCTGAACTGGACCCAATCCCCCAGGTACCGTGGGCAGTGGCTTCTGATGACCCGAGGCAAGGTAGCTTTCTAAGAAGATCAGGATTCGGGAATCTGTGACAGAAAAGAAGGCAGCTGGTTGCTTCTGGTTCAGGGTGACTTTGCAACTTCTGATTATGCTTCAGTGTTTAGCTTAGACATCCCTTTTCCGGGGAAGTCCTCCCTGCCCACCCCGTGGACCAGGTGTGGACCAGAGCATGTACACTTCCAACACTCAGCCCCTTTAGAACATTTCCCTTCCTGCTCTAGACCGTTAGGTAGAAGCACGCCCCCCCACCATCCCACACCCCCACACCCCACAGCATAAAGCCTGGCAGGAGACCCGGCCCCAGGAGAAGCTCAAAATCCATTCGGAAAGTTAGAATAAATGTATGAATCAATAACAGGAGACTGCAGTGTTGACAGGCTGAGGAGAAAGACACCCGGAGACCACCATGAGCCACTGCTGAAGAGCACATAAGAAATGGGGCGGGGGGGGGGGAGGTAAAGCAGGAATTACAAGTTCAAAAATGAAAAGAGGAAAAAAAGAAGATTCCAGCATCATGGGTCTGTGAGCTTTTCCCACCAAGCCCACATGTAAGCGGTGTGTAACTTCCCTCCAGGGGCAGGCCACGGAGCTGCGTGCATCTGCGAACTTGTACTACTCTGAGGAACGACACAGGCCGATGCTTTGTAAGCCCCTCCTCTCCGGGCCGCTTCTGCACTGTCCTCCTCAGCCGAGAGAGCACCAAGCCACACTTCTCGCAGATTTTCTCAGAAAAGCAACAGGGGCGTCTATATTCATCGGGTTCTTTCAAACCGCACGCCCTCCACTTGCCCTGCCGGACCCTCCCTGGTGCACATGGCCTTCGCCCTTCGGACCCCAGTACACAGTGACAGAGCAGCTGCAGACCGGATGGGTCCCCTCACCCCTGTCCCCAAGTTAGTTTGATTTTCTAAAGTTCTCAGAGCTCGAAGCCTCACGCAGAACTGGAGATGCTCACAGCATCCCTACTCCAGGACTGGTTTTTAGCCCCAGGTCTGCGATCAGCTGTTACTCAAGCCCAGCACGGCAGGACATGGAGCCGCGGGTTAGCCTGCGCGCTGCTCACCGCCTTCCGTCCTCTCTACTGCGGTCACTAACGTTAATCCTGATGGTCCTTCTCTCTGCAAGAGGCTCCTCCTGAGAGACCCACAGATGACACTGGGAGCAATGTAGGGCTGGGGTGAAGTAATTTGGAAAAAACTGTCGATCCCTGGAACTTTTTCCGTAAAATATTACTTAAGGATAGAAAGGAAGTCACTGAGTTAGAAGGAGACTCAAGTCACTGGTTCAGCCTCTGTCCAACCTGAAATCAGTAATAGCGGATCATTCAGCTTTACCTTGAAGCCTGCTAACCACTCGCTGTTGCTCTGCTGCACGCCAATTCACTTTCATAAAGTAGCTAAAGAATGACTTCAAATTTAAGTCATACTAAAGAGAAATAGTTCTTAAAATGAGATGAAAAAAATGTTTTAGAGATTTGAGATGTTTTAGAGATTTATTTGAGAGAGCGAGTGAGCAAGTGCAAGGGTGGGGAAGGCAGAGGGAGAGGACAGACAGCATCTCAAGCAGTCTTCCATGCTGGGTGCGGGGCCCAACTCGGCGCTTGATCCCACAACCCTGAGATCATGACCTGAGCGGGGAAGAGTCTGACACTTAACAGACTGAGCCACCCAGGCACCCCTAGATGAAAAAAATTTTTTTTAATTTTTAAGTAATCTCTCTACCCAATGTGGGGCTTGAACTCACAACCCCAAGATCAAGAGTCACGTGCTCTGAGCCAGCCAGGCGCCCCCAAATTAGGAACACTGTATTCTTCGATCAACCAGTGAACAGAATTTTCCCTAGTGCTATGGCTGGGATGAGGAAGAGTAAGAGCCAGCACAGAAAGCTATTTACCAGCAGCTCCTCTCTAGCGAGTACTTGCGAGGGGCTGGGTTATTCTGGTAAGTGCTTTATGCACCTAATGCCCTGTGGTCCTCCCAGCACCCGCACAGAGCTGTCGGTATCATGTCTTTTAGAGATGAGGAGCCTCAGGCATCGGGTCACCCGCTCGGGCCACAGCGCCTGTGCTCTTGAGGAAAAGCCCTGCTCACCTCCCCTCTCACGGCACATCCCGAGCACGTCCGAGCACGTCACGGCAGCGCGCCGAGGGCAGGGGCTTCCCCCACCCAGCGACACTCTGCAACAGCAGCAGAGTGTCCCACTGCTGTGCTCCGTTCTGACACTACGTGGAGGGAGTGTCACAGCCCAGAGGCCAGGAGCTCAGTCCCAGGAGGCTACACCCCGCCGCCATTTCAGAAGCTAACCAACCGCAAGCAGCAGGTCCCCAGGAACCCCCCAGCTACAAACTGGAGGGTCCCATGACCTCCTCCCCTTCAGATATTGATTATTGGCTAGAACAGCTCACAGCACTCAGCGAAACATCCTGTTTACTCATGAAAACCAGAACAAAAAACACAGAGTCCTGAGGGCAGGCGCTTTTGTGGAGGTGGGGGTACACCGCCCTCCCATTATGTGCAGAACCCAGACGCTCCCCGAAACCTGTACTTCTGGGATGTTTATGGCAGCTTCATCATGGGCATTTCCAGAGCTTTTCTCCTCTCTTGGAGGGGGGTGGAGGAGGCTGAAAATTCCAGGCTTCTAATCCTGGCTTGGTCTTTCAGAGCCCACGCAGAGTTGCCTCATTAAAACAAAAGATACTCCTATCACCCAGGAAATTCCAAAGGATTTAAGAGTTCTCTGTCAGGATCCAGGTCAAAGACCAGTCTTAGAACAAAAGATGCTCTTAGTGCTCTTATCACTTAGGAAACTACAAGAATTTTAGGAGCTCTGAGCTAGGAAGGGGGCGGGGGTGTGCAGAGACCAATACTTCTATTTTTTGTTACCTCACAGTGCTGGAGCAGGGCTCTGAACAAAGCCTGTGATTCCAAAGTCAGAGCCCTCAGAACAATGACAGCAGCCCCGTCACTTGTCCAGAACTCTGGGTTGCCCTCGCCGTGGTGAAAACTCACTCTCTCCTCACTCATCAGCACTCATAAGCTACCAAAACCTTCTAGGTTTCTTCAGAGGGGCCGGTCCGCCAGTGTCTCCAAGGGCACATCCCTGCTGCCAGTCTTCCCCCCACAAACGTACCCATGATCCTGCGGATGGGGTCGTCAGGACTGGCGACAGCCTGGATCTGGCCCTTGAGCACGGCCTCCTTTTCCATGGTGAAGGGGGTGAGCCCGCACAGGGCCAGGCAGCTGCTCACCTCCAGGCAGACCTTCTCCCCGATGGTAGTCAGGGCGTCCTTCAGATGAAAGGAGCTTGAGTACAGAAGAGAAGGGAGAAGGCAGGGAGGAGAGAGTCAGTAAGCAAAGTGGACATCCACCCAGCTCAGGCAAACTAAGAGCCCGAGCCCTGGTAAGAGTCATGATCTGAGTCAGTGCATGGACTGTCATGTTCAAAGAGAAAGTCTAGGACTCTCTTCCCTGCCCTCACTCAGCCTTCCAGGCTGCAGACACTTGACTCAGGAGTCCCTCTCTCTCTCTACTAGAAAGAACATTGGGAAGGGAAGGGCTCAGACTATACCAGTGAAACAACCCCAAACCCAACTCCTTGCTAGCATCTGTGTGCTGAAACAATCCTGACACTGCCTTACGAGTACCCTGAATCCCGCCGGGGTAACACACAAGATCCCAGAATCAGGGAGCTGTGGGACAGAACGGGAAGAGAAACTTTTCATTAGATATCCTTCTGTCCCTTTTGATTTGTGAAATATGGGAAGGTATTAACTACTTTAAAAGAATTAATAACACTGAAATCCCAAAGTTAAAAAAATAAGCACCTTGATTTTCCAAAGCCCTTGGGCTCTCCTGGAGTATCTGTGGGGAGTCCTCCTGCTGGTGGGTTTCCTGTGAGGCCTTTGTTCTGGGCCTAAACCCTCTGTACACCAGGAGTCATGGGCACAAATGAGTGAGCCCAGGGATTCACTGCTGGTACCAACTCTGAGGGTACCAACCCAAAAGCCAGTGTGGACACCGCAGGGCTGGACCCCTGTATGGAAGCCCCACACAGGGCCCCTCATCGGAAGCTCTAAACAGTAGAGAACCAGGTCTGCTGGGGGGCGGGGAGGGATGGACGATGTGGGGGACAGACCTCAGTGATGTGCCAGGGCCTCAGCTCAGCAAACCCCTCCCGGCCTCAGCCGGCCTGTGCACGCACCCCTGACCACACCCAGCGCGGGCAAGTTCTGTGCGAACTCAGCAGGAAAAGGCCTCCGTTTTGTATGGATGAGAACATGTGGGGACATCCTCCTCAAGGAATCCTCTGAACTGGGCCTGGCAGAGGCAGTATTTACTTCGAACCAGTAAAACATATCCTGCGGGCCGTGAACCACATGGACCTGACGGGCCGTCTGGGCGGGAGCAGAAATTGCTTGTGGCCTGGCAACTTGGGGGGACGCCGCCCGCTTCTTAGAGGACCTTTCCCAGGGCTGTGCCACCCAAACTCTTAGGGAGCCGTGAGAGCAATTCAGCGGGTAGCAAGCAGTATTTTTGTTTTTAATGTTATAAGAATTTGTACTAAGCATGGTTCGGGTTAAGTTTCACTTTGTGAAGTTTTTACTCCGGTTACAGGTGCACTTGAAGCGTGTACTAGGTCACAGCAGAAAATGAATTTCTTCCTGTGGGTCTTGGTCCTAAACATGTGAAAGCCACCCTCCTAGAGCCTCGCGGACCCCAGAATCGACGCTAACGCTGTTCCTAGGAACCCAAATCAGTTCTGCTGGGGGGAAAAAGAGAGAGCAAGGTTTCCTCTCTGGTTCTAGAGGGTAGCCCCGGGAACCCCCCCACTCCAGCACTGGGAGACCCCGCCACCGTCTGCTCTCTGCCACCGCTGCCTCCTAGCCGTCCCACAGGGGCCACTTACGGCAGATGTGTATCTGTTAGCAGAATCTTCACGATCATCTTGAGTTTCTCAGCAAAGTCGGCCTGGCTGGAGATTCCTGGGGCTGCCATGCTGAATGTGACCAGCAACACGGCTCCCAGGATGGTGAGGTGCTCCAGCTGCAGCTGGAGCTCTTGGAAGCGAGCCTGGTCCATCAAAACGGTCTGTAAGGGATGCGACAGAAATCATCCCTGAGCGGGAGATGCAAGCCGGCCAGCAGGGGGCGGTGGGGCCATAGCCCCACACGTGCCTCCACAGGTTCCCTCAGAATTTTCCAGTCCTTTGAGAGCTTAAGGGAGTCAGGCGTGAGTCGTCCTTCCCCTCAGAGCCGCTTTCTCCCTAGGAAGGCTGCCCTAGAGCCCACTGAGAAGCGGAGGCAGACCACCACTGAAACGCAAGATAACCTCACGCCAGCTTCTTCAGCGGCCTGAGCCCTGTGCAGACCAGGGATTCCTGCCTCTCGGGAATGTCCTAAAGATGGAAGGCCATGGATCTAAAGTGGGCTGGCGGAGCCAACACTCAGTAACTAGGAGTTCTATCGTTAGACAGGAAAGAGTAATGAGATACGGGGCTAGGGTGACCACTCACCCCGGTTTGTCCAGGGCCGCCCCAGCTTTAAAACTGGAACTCCCAAGTCCTGTGACCACTCTCCCCGCCAACACCAGTCCAGAGCAAACCAGGCAGCTAGGCACCCCAGCCAGAGCCCCGGAGGGAAGGAGGGGAGAAGCTGCTGGAAGGGAGAGCCTACGTGATTCACCTTGGTGTCCCCTCACTATCTAGCACAAAGGAGGCCCCTTCAGAGTCGGCAAGTGAATGAAGAAAACAAAAAAGAAACCAAAAGTAGAAAAAGGAGGAATGACAGAAAACAAACCAAAGCCACCCAGAAAGCAGTGAGTGAGTTTCTCCGACTGCATCCCCCGTGGCAGACATCCATGCGTCCTACCAGGTCAAAGTGCCCTGCGTGGGATAAAGGAAAGAACTCTGGAAAGGCTGACGAGATATCCCTTCCGATGGGAGTTTCTACAGGTAACCCAAATAAATGTGAAGGGCCAGTTTTGCTATAAGAAACTGGCACACCAAATCAAGACATTAACAATTTAGAGTCTTAGCCTAGAGTTCTTCTCAAGCATTGAAAACCATCTTTAAGATTCAGGATCCTGGGGGCGCCTGGGTGGCTCAGTGGTTAAAGCCTCTGCCTTCGGCTCAGGTCATGATCTCAGGGTCCTGGGATCGAGTCCCGCATCGGGCTCTCTGCTCAGCAGGGAGCCTGCCTCCTCCTCCTCCTCTCTCTCTCTCTGCCTGCCTCTCTGCCTACTTGTGATCTGTCAAATAAATAAAAAAAAAAATCTTTTAAAAAAAAAAAAAAAGATTCAGGATCCTGGGGGCACCCTGGTAGCTCGGTCATTAAGCATCTGCCTTCCGCTCAGGTCATGATTCCGGGGTCCCCCTGCTCAGCGGGGAGCCTGCGGCTCCCTCTCCAGCTCCCCAGTGCTTGTGTGCTTGTGTTCCCTCTCTCGCTGTGTCTCTCTCTGTCAAATAAATAAATAAAGTTTAAAAATCCTAAAGAGTCAGGATCCTCTGTTAAACAAAGATGCTTCCCCAGACTCAGCCTCTTCCCTGACTTCACCACGTTACACAGCAGCATCCCGGCTTTGTGCGGGGCTGGGGTTTAGGGTACAAAACATTTCCAGTGATCAATCCTGAGGGTAGACATTGGTGTCCAACGAAAACACCATCTTCCCCACAGCAGTATTTTAAAAGAAATGTCAGGCTGCGAAATGCCCTCCAGGTGAGAACATGTCACCATTTGGAAAGGGGCGTCCCCTACCCTCTCAATACCACACCCTCTTAAAGCCTCCTTTGGCAAGAAACAGGGAACTCAGAAGCAAGAGTGAAGCCATGGGCTTACAGCGTCTTCAAAGGAAAAATAAGGAACTTAGAGGAGAAAGATTTAGAGAAGTAGCAGTTTCTGAGGCTAGAGATAAAAACCCCAAATGTCCTCAAAAATGAGGCAGTCTCCACACCAAACCAGCAGGTTACAGACAAAAATGGGAGAAATCCCTTGTTTATCATCTTCTTAGTAAGAAGTACTTATTGTGAAAAACCTTTATGGTTGGTTGGTTTGTTTTTATCCTGCACATGGAATGGGAAGTAGTATTTTTTACATAAAACTGAAAAGCAACATCACTGTTATGGTTTTAATCAAGTCGTGTAAAAACAGGACAGCAGCTCAGCAGCACACACTGGAAGGCCCATGCACCTCTGGGGGATGGGGAAGTGGTGCGGCTGCTTGGGGTGCAGGGGTGGGGGTAGACAGTTTTCGGGGAAAACTCGGTTCCTTTGAGTGTGAAACTTCAAGTCACCACGTGACCCAGCAATTCTCATCCTAGGTATTCACCCAAGAGTACTGCAAATACATGCCCCCCCTGCTAAAATGTGTACACAAACGTTCAGGGCAGCACAGTTCACAGTAGCCAAAAAGTGGAAACAACCCAAATGTCTGTCAACTGATGAATGACTCAACAAAATGTGGGACATACGGTGGAGTGTTGTTCGGACTTAAAAAGAAAACGCTGACCCACACCACAACACGGGTGAAGCCTGAAGACAATCCGCTGAATGAAAGAAGCCAGACACAAAAGGACAAACACTGTAGGATTCCATTCATATGAGGCACCTGGAGTCGTCAGACCCAGAGACAGGAAGAAGAACGGTGGTTGCCAGGGGCAAGGCGGAGGGAGGCATGAGGTGTATTTAAAGAGTTTGAGGGACTCCTGGGTGGCTCAGTGGGTTAAGCCTCTGCTTTCGGCTCAGGTCATGATCCCAGGGTCCTGCGATCGAGTCCTGAATCGGGCTCTCTGCTCAGCTAGGAGCCTGCTTCCCCCCTCCCTCTCTCTCTCTGCCTGCCTCTCTGCCTACTTGGGATCTCTGTCTGTCAAATAAATAAATAAAGTCTTTAAAAAAAAAAAAAAGAGTTTGAATTTGTGAAGACGGGAAAGTTCTAGAAAGGACAGTGGTAATGGTGGCCCAACCATAAGAACGTCCTTTATGCCCTGAACGTCCTTTATGCCCTGAACTGTACACATAATGATGGGAAATCTTGGGGCACCTGGCTGGCTCAGTTGGTGGAATGCACAACCCCTGCTGGGTTGTACGAGCCCCACGCTGGGTGTAGAGCTTACTTAAAAAACTAAAAAGAAAAAAAAAAGACGGTATATTTTGTATTTCGCATATTTTACGGTTAAAAAAATACAACTTCCAATCAAAAAATGAAGTATTCATACATATGACATGGATGAACATCATGCTCGGTCTAAGAAGCCAGACACAAAAGGCCGACAGTGCAGGATCCCATTTACATAAAATGTCCAGAAGAGGCAAATCCATAGAGACAGGAAGTAGATTAGTGGTTGCCACTGGGGAGGGGAGTGGGGAAAGGGCACAGGGTCTCTTTTTAGGGTGATGAAAACGCTTTGGTCCTCTAACTGTAAATTGATGAAAACCCAACGAATTGTTCAATTTAAAAGGGGACATTTTCTGGTAAGAGAACTGTATCATCGCAAAACTTATTTTTTCAAAGTTCTACCGCACAAAAAGAAACGAGCAGTTAGACCGCTCTGCAGCACCTACTTCTGGGAAAGGTCTCCGCAGATGGTCCCATCTCAGAAGCTTCAGGTATGCATAATTCTGGACAGCCACAGGATTTGGCGTGGGGCCATCCCCAGAGCCGGCCGCCCCTCCCCCAGCTGGCAGGGCACTTTTATACTTCTGATTCAGAAGGTCCTCTGCGGCTTCTTCCAGCCACTGGGTGACAAAGTCCAGGGAATCTGTGAAAAACAAGGCCACCCACATTACCATGACACTCAGGAGGGACACTTCTTGGAATGGCTTTAGGGATGATCATCCTGAAGGTGTGGCACAATCATCCCGAAGGTGTGGTATATACAGAGTAATACAGAGTACGGACTTTGGAACCAAACAGAACTTGGTTTAAATCACAGTATTGCCATTACCAGCTAAGGATGATCAGATTCCTCCTACAAAGAGATGGACACCACCACCTGGTAGGCAGTTCCGAGGATTAACAAGATAGTGAATACAAAGCACACAGCCAGGCCTGGCCACCTACAGCTGTCCGGAAAACCATGGCCCTCGCCCCCACCCCGACCACCGCAGGAGACGAGGCAGGGGCTCTGAGGACTCCAGCTCAGGTAGATGCAAAAATTCTTGCCCAGACACAGGAGGAGACACAGGAGAGAGTCTCCCAGTATAAAGTATCCTCCGCATTGAAAATGAGGCCTTTTCCTTGTCTGGATCGGAGTCTCCCATCAAGCTCGTTTGCTTTCAACCTCATGGGAGGGGAGCTGTGCCGCCCCTAGGACGTGGCTTCTGCGGCATCAGGAGCACCGCCGGGAGGATCGCGAGTGTCTTTCATCTGCCCCCGGGTGCTCCCTCCTTTTCTAAGCTGAGAAATGCACCAGGGATTCTGAGGGGGCACAAGAGAAAGACGAGGTTTTTATCCACATGACAGGAGAAGAAAATCCCTCTGACAGCTCCTGGAACAAGCAGGAAGCACCTGTGTCAACGCACGAGTGGCACAGAGGTCCTGGCGGGCAGCCATGCTGTCCCTTTAGCCTTCTGCAGGCGGCACGCTCTGTAGTCCCCCAGCTTGGCCATGTGAGGAGGCAGCGGGCGCCTGACCAGCACAGGGGCCACAGCAGCAGCTCCTCACTGGGCCCTTGGCTGCTGGAACCGGACTCGCACACTAAGGCTCTTTGGCCCGGAAAACTGGCAGCCTGGATGCTTCCTGAGGACAACTCTGGCGAGAAAATCAACCAGGCGGTCAATCCATTCTGGTCAAAAATTTCTCAAAATCAAGGTCCAGGGGCGCCTGAGTGGCTCAGTGGGTTAAAGCCTCTGCCTTCAGCTCAGGTCATGATCCCAGGGTCCTGAGATGGAGCCCTGCATCAGGCTCTCTGCTCAGCAGGGAACCTGCTTCCCCTTCTCTCTCTGCCTGCCTCTCTGCCTACTTGTGATATCTGTCAAATAAATAAAAACTCTTAAAAAAAAAAAAAACCGATAGGGCACCTGGGTGGCTCAGTGCGTTAAGCCTCTGCCTTTGGCCCAGGCCATGGTTTCGGGGTCCTAGGATCGAGCCCTGCATCAGGCTCTCTGCTCAGCAGGGAGCCTGCTTCCCTCTGTCTCTGCCTGCCTCTCTGCTTATTGTGATCTCTCTCTGTCAAATAAATAAAATCTTAAAAAAAACCGAGGTCCACATCCATAAACTGGAATTAAGAAAATAGTGGCTCACAGCAGGAGGGTTATGCGAGGTAAGGCCCACGCCCCCAACCCACGCCTTGTGTATGTGCCGGGGAACAGCAGCCGCTCTTCTCCCGGTACAGTTTCCTCTGCTCACCTCTGTCCTGACCCCTTCCGGGCCAGCTCGGCCTTCTCTGTCTGCGGCGGGATGAGCACCTGCTCTGGCCAGCAACACAATCTAGCCAGAGACCACCATTTTCTTTCTTAACCACCCCAGTTAGTGACTAAATGGAACTCATAATAAATTGGATCCAGGGGCGCTCAGTTGGGTACGCATCTGCCTTCAGCTCAGGTCATGATCTCGGGGTCCTGGGAATTAAGCCCCATGTCCGGCTCCCTGCTCAGCGGGGAGCCTGCTTCTCGCTCTGTTTGCCTCTGCCCCACCCCCCGGCAGTGCTCTCTCTCAAATAAATCTTTTTTTTTTAAGCTTTTATATATTTATTTGACAGTGACAGAGAGAGAGAGAGCAAGAGTACAAGCAGGGGGAGCGGCAAGCAGAAGGAGAGAGGGATCATCAAGGATCATGACCTGAGCCAAAGGCTGACACTCAACTGACTGAGCCACCCAGGTGACCCTTAAATAAATAAAATCTTAAAATAAATAAATAAATTGGATCCAAAGACTGTAATTAACCAGGACTATCAGCTGTCGATGCAGAGAACCCCCACCCCAAAACCATCCTAGAAATGCAACACAGCTTTGCATGCTATAGTCCTATTGTACTCCTGCAGTCATCTGAGAGGTTTATGAAAATGAGACTTTTTCTGGGTATAAAACCAGAAAGACTTTCTGCATATAGAACGGAGGCAAAGTAAAATTTCTTCCTGTACCTTTAAGAGAGGGGCAAGTGAATTAAACAGTCACAAGAAGTCTGTCATGTTTTAAAAATTAAGGCCAAGCATACGATTTACCCCAAACTGATGTTTTCATTAAAAACCTAATTTAGGACTTCTTGGTTCTTTTAAATTTCTTTTCTTATATTCTACTTCTGTTTCTCTTGTTTGTCGATTGTCAAGTCCAAAGTCTGGTACTTTTCGATCTTGAAATCAGAACGCTCCCATACAAAATTTGAGTTTTATTTGGCAGAGTGTCGTTGTGCAACCAGCTACGGCCCTGAAATGGAGAAAGAGTGCAGGAGCCACAAAGCATCGGACGTACTTGGCTGCTTCTCCAAAACCTGTTGAAACTTCTTCCGTTCGTATTCCACGGACTGCTGCATGAGATGCGGCCTAATGCTAGTGATGGCAAAGTTTGCCATGTCCACTTTCATAAGGTCCAACACGGAAAAAATTGCCCTGAAGGAAAAGGAAGAAAAGCATTTAGAACTGGGCACGTGTCAAGGAAGCACTGTCTTGGAGGAAAGAAGGCAGCAGATTTGAGAGAGGCTTTTCATCTCAAAAAGGGCAGCAAGTAGATCAAGAAAAACAAATTTAGCGGGGACGCCTGGCTGGCTCAGCCGGTAGAGCATGCGACTTTTGACCCTGGGGTCGTGAATTTGAGCTCCACATGGGGCAAAAAGATTATTTAATAAAAAATAAACATAAGGGGCGCCTGGGTGGCTCAGTGGGTTAAGCCGCTGCCTTCGGCTCAGGTCATGATCTCAGGGTCCTGGGACTGAGCCCCGCATCGGGCTCTCTGCTCAGCAGGGAGCCTGCTTCCTCCTCTCTCTCTGCCTGCCTCTCTGCCTGCTTGTGATCTCTCTCTGTCAAATAAATAAAATCTTTAAAAAAAAATAAACATAAAATAAGAAAAATTTAGAAAACACAAAAATTTAAGTAACAGATTGAAAAGACTGTAAGTTTTTAAGCTGCCTTCTGTCCCCACTCCTCCACGGCCTACCTCCAAGCAAACACAGCTCCCTCACTGCCTGTCTAGGCTGGAACTCGCTCCTTGGCACTGGGTCAGCCTTCCTGGAGGCACAGACGAAGGACAGCCAGGACCCAGGATCAAGGGCAGACATGGGACCACCCGGTCTTCACTGTTACACAGGCTAATTCACTTTCCCAGCAAAGAAAGAATAAGAACTCTCTCCTCTCCCCTCGCAGGATCTTCGTTTCAGGGCCTGCTTTCTGTTCTAGTTTTGCAGCAGAACCGTGAGCTCGCACTCTGAATGTGCCCGACGAGCAGACCTGACCGGACGCTCAGGACGCCTCGAATCCTGCCTGTCAGAGCAGGGAGAGCTGGGAGCGGCTAAAGGACCTATTTGCTGAAGGTTGGCTGAGAACCCAAGGTACAGGCTTGGGTGTGGCCCCACATGGAAGGAAGAACAGGGTCAAATGTCCTCTGAGTCCCCCTGATGCCCTCTGGGACTGACCTAACACTGCATGATACAATGACCTTATGTGTGGGTGTTTATTATGGAAAAGACACACAGTCTGAGAATGATTCGTGGCCTTTCCCCTCCCATCCTGTCCACCTCCCAAGTACATGGGACAGCCGCCTTTCTCCAGGGCACATTCTGCCTCTCCTCTGAGCACTCCTTAGCAATTCCCTAAATCAACCTACTGCAGACCAGTGACGGCCGGAAACTGCCCACTGGCAGCCACTGACTGGAGTAGCCCACGAGCGTGTTTGTGCTCCCAACGTGTTTTCAAAGATCTCCATTTCCAGCCTCTCCTGAGAAATGAGAAGATCTGACAACATGGGCCCACATTCAGCTGCCTCCCTTTCAACAGTGTACAGACTCCCATTTTTGCCAGGCTCCCCGGGCCTTCTCTGTCTCAGTAGGAATTTGAGTTTAGGTTGAGTTTGCTGCAAGTTATTTCCCCAGAGGACTCACTTCCTAGGAACTCCTCACTTGGCCTTATTAGAAGCTCTTTCTGACTATTCTAACATTTAGCACCAGGCCCACTGCTTGAGAGATGTTCACTAAGAGCCTGTTGCATGAATAAACAAATCCATTTCTAGTTTTTTGTTAAGATTTTTTTAAAAAAATATTTTTATTATTTGAGAGAGAGACGGAGAGGTGGGGAGAGAGAGAGAAAAAACGAGCGGGGTGAAGGGCAGAGGGAAAAGCAGACTTCTCAATAAGCAGGAAGCCGGACAGAGCTTGATCCTGGAACCCCAGGACCATGACCTGAGCCAAAGGCAGACGCCCAACCGAGTCACCCAGGAGCCCCAATAAGATTTTTATTTTTAGGGGTGCCTGGGTGGCTCAGTGGGTTAAGCCTCTGCCTTCAGCTCAGGTCATAATCCCAGGGTCCTGGGATCCAGCCCTACATCGGGCTCCCTGCTCAGCAGTGAGCCTGCTTCCCCCTCTCTCTCTGCCTGCCTCTCTGCCTACTTGTGATCTCTGTCAAATAAATAAATAAAACCTTAAAAAAAAAAAAAAGATTTTTATTTTTAAGTAATCTCCACACCCAGTGTGGGGCTTGAATTCATGACTCTGAGATTAAGAGTCACACATTCTACGGAATGAACCAGCCAGGTGCCCCTTTTTGGGAGGTGTTTCAATGCTTTCTAAACCCTGAGGTAACTTCACAATGCAGAGCATTTTTATACGAACCAAACACTTATATAAGGATATCAAGAAAGCTGAAAATAAGGGCACCTGGGTGGTTCAGTCGTTTAAGCGTCTGCCTTTGGCTCAGGTCATGATCCCAGGGTCCTGGGACTGAGCCCTGCATCCGGCTCCCTGCTCAGCGGGGAGTCTGCTTCTCCTTCTCCCTCTGCTGCTCCCCCTGCTTGTGCTCTCACACCCTAAAGAACTTATAGTTAGGAAATAATCTAAAATATAGAAAAAAGTTTTATGTGCAAGGATAGGATTAAACAGTAATTATATGTACTCTAATTGTCCATCTCCATAGGGTAATAGTTAGCCATATCTATGCAAATAAATATCTTGCAGCCTTTGCAAATACTTATGGGAGTTTTAAGAAATAATCTACATTGGTTTTACAAAAGGAATCCTGTGGTGTTGGAACTGCCCAGGACCTTGAATGCAGTGGTGGATACACAAACTTACACAGGGATAAAATTATATAAAAATTAATATACAGACACAAACGCATTCAAGTAAAACTGGAAATCTGCATGAGGTCCCTGGATTGTATTCATCTCAACAGTCTAGTTGTGATGCCCTGTAGTTCTGCGGAAGGTTAGCTTCGGGGGACGCTGGATAAAGTGTCCTGTATTATTTCTTACAACTCCACACGAATACACAATTATCTCAATGACACTTTCAATTGAAAAAAAAAGTGAAATAGGATATGTTTGTTTGTCTATTTATCTAAGATTTCATTTATTTATTTGAGAGACAGAAAGGCAGCAAGAGAGGGAACACAAGCTGGGGGAGTGGGAGAGGAAGAAGCAGGCTTCCCTCGGAAGAAGGAGCCCAGTTCGGGGCTCGATCCCAGGACTCTGAGATCATGACCTGAGCTGAAGGCAGACACTTGACGACTGAGCCACCCAGGCGCCCCTAATTAGGGTGTAAGGTTTATAGAAAAAGTCAGGCCCGCATGCCCACCAGGAGGACTTCTTAGAGTCAGCTGAACATTTGGGGTCACGAGGTCTGGCATCATCTAGGCACTCAGATGGCCAATAAGGCAGCAGCACACAGGTTACAGTAACAGCTGAGAGAAGACAGACGTTTGGGGGCTGCCCGGCTAACATATTTATGTATATATTTGTGTTAATAGAGTTTGTAATAATTCTACGGCATGGCTTCTAGTGTCTCCACTAGGGACATGACCTGTTAAAAAAGCTACTCCCCTTAAAGGACTTCCAAAGTGTGGTGTCCCTGTCACTAAGCATAGTTCATTATCATTACTTTCGGTCCAGACGCAATGTACCAATCAGAGTCACTTTCCCCACAAGCAACAGGGCAGGGTAGCATTTTGATGCAGAACACCTTTATCTGTTTACAGGAAAAACAGAGCTAAGCAGTTGGCCAAAAGTCAAATTCTCACGCAGCATCATGTCAATTGTTTGTCAATAATAGTATCAGAAAAATTATATAAATCCGGAGTGTCTCAGTTGGTACAGCATGCAACTCTTGATCTCAGGGTCAGGCATAAAAGCTTTAGGTGTGGAGCCTACTTTAAAAAAAATTATATAGGGCCACCTGGGTGGCTCAGTGGGTTAAAGCCTCTCAGGTCATGATCTCAGGGTCCTGGGATCGAGCCCCGTATCAGGCTCTCTGCGCAGTGGGGAGCCTGCTTCCTCCTCTCTCTCTGCCTGCCTCTCTGCCTATTTGTGATCTCTGTCAAATAAATAAATTAAAATCTTTTTTTTTTTAAGATTTATTTATTTATTTATTTATTTGTCAGAAAGAGAGAGAGTGAGCACAGGCAGACAGAGTGGCAGGCAGAGGCAGAGGGAGAAGCAGGCTCCCCACAGAACAAGGAGCCCGATGTGGGACTCGATCCCAGGACGCTGGGATCATGACCCGAGCCGAAGGCAGCTGCCTAACCAACTGAGCCACCCAGGCGTCCCTAAAATCTTTTTTTAAAAACAAAAAAAATATCAACACGATTAACTGATTTTGCCTCTAGATGGTAAAATTATGATGATTTTTTTTCTTCTTTCTACTTTTCTATATTTTACAAAATGTTTGTTTTTTAATTTTTTTAAAAATTCACATGTATCTACACTTGAATTCTAAATTTGAAAACAGGCTCTGATTGATCCCTGTGTCCACGCTCAGCATGGAGTCTATTTGATACTCTCTCCCTCTGCCCCTCCCCCCACTCCAAGATGAATAAATCTAAAAAGAAAAGTAAAAGAGAAAAGGCTCTGTATTTTAAGCACACTAAGGGGATTAACATGATTTCTATACCTGAAAAGGGGCACTATTTCCTTAATGTCCTTTAGTTTCTTGACTTCCTCATCTCGAGCAGGTGCACAGAGGGTCCCCATCATACCAATAATGAATTCTGCCAGCTTGGAAATGTCTAAGGCCCCATTCTCTGCTTCTTGCTTTATCAGATCCAGATCCAAGACTTCTGTTATCTGGTTTCTCAGTCTAGTGTGACCAGGCAGCAAGAAAGACAAGAGAGTCTACAAAAGAGCACAGCTAAGTTAAATCAAAGTTTCTTAGTCAGACATCATTTTTGATTATATGCAAAGGAACTCACAATGACCCAAATAAGGGCTTGTTATTAAGTTGTTACTGTAATACAATTGTTACTGTGATACATATTTTAACCTTTTATTTAGTCATGGATAGAAAACATGTTTACACATCATTTATTTTTAAAATAGACTCTATGCCCAACATGAGGCTCAAACTCACAAACTTGAGATCAAGAGTTGTGTGCCCTACTGACTGAGCCAGCCGGTGCCCTGTTTGCAAATCATTTAGACTAGTTATTTAAGCTTCCATTTAAGGTTTATGTAGCAGTCCCTCAGATAAAAGATAAACTGTTAAAAGCGAGAAAAAACATAATTAATGTGAGCCTCTGAGCCAACATAGATGTCAATTTCCACCGATACATTTCTTTGATACCACTGCTAAAGGTATTTGCAAAAGAATTAACTTCTACATAATGCCTTCTCTATCCCAAGGACTGAATCATTTTTTGGCCATTATAAATTGAACACTTCCACACCTATTAATTTTTTTTTTACAAACCACCTATATTATAAAATAACTTTTGTTTTCTTTAAATAATTCATTCTAAATATATGAACCTTCAGGGGCATCTGGTTTGCTCAGTCAGTTAAGCGTCTAAGTCTTGGTTTCAGCTCAGATCATGAATTCAGGGTCATCGGGTTGTGAGATCGAGCCCCATGTTGGGCTCCTTGCTCAGCGCAGAGTCTGCTTGATTCTCCCCTCCCTCTGACCCTGCTCGCACGTGTGCTCTCTTGCTCTCAATCTTTAAATATTAAAAAAATACATACACACAGACAAATACAACTTCATTTACAAAAGTAAAGCCTTCAAGTTATCATGGCTTGTTTCAAATTTTTAAAAGCACATTGAGCCAAAAATAGTCTTAATCCACATTTCAACAAGTACAAGTTTTAACTTATCCTTCAATTTCTTTCGAGTCTTTTGGTGCAGCAACACAGAGACGCTGACTACTCCAAACACACCAGAAAAGCACCACAATTGGCTCTTTGCCTCACCTCTTTGATCTCCCCAACAAGTTTGATGGCATGGTCATATGTGGGGGGGTCTTCACTTAGCTGGACACTCAAGCAATCCCAAAAAGCTTTATGTACAATCTCCTTCACTCTCTTCTCCAAACTGGAAACAAATGGGAAAAAAATAAGCAAATAAAATATTTGAGCCTCAAATCACTTCCAAAAGCACAAATTTTACACGTTGAGGGTGAGAAATTTTAAAAATACTTTGGATGAAGGAAAGATTTCCTGGATATACTTAAACCAAGCACATACCTTATTTTAAGTTTAGTGATTTATTTCAATAAATAACTCATTGGACAGAATAACTTTCAACTCATTTGACAGATGACATTGGGCCAATTAACAGCATATAACAGTGCCATAGGCTAAAAAGCATATTGAAAAGTTCAGAGCTGTTTTAATTTTCCCAGAAAACAGCAAGTTCCTTAAGATATTTATGATTAAGCAGTTTAAGATAACAACTCGGCATATATATAGGCTGAAGTACTTTATTTCCAGAAAATATCCTATTCCTATGTCATCTGTGTGGTACTTGCTTAATTAGGTACCGAACTCTTACCACTAACATATAACATCTCATTAAAACCAGTATCTGGGGGCACCTGGCTGGCTTGGTCAGTAGAGCATAATCTCAGGGTTTGGAGTTTGAGCCCCATGTAGTATGTAGAGATTACTTACAAATAAAATCTTCAAAAAAAACAAAGTCTTTATATTGTGAGAGCAAAACAAGTAGCTCTTCATTATTAATGTGAAAAAGTACTATCTTTGCAGAACACAGAAGAAAGGTCTATAAAGTCATAAAAGGCTCATGTGTGTGACACCATAGCTTGGCAACCCAGCAGCCATTCCTCCTCCAATGTTTATCACGACACTTGTACAGTTATAATGGGCAATGATTTTTCTTTCTTACGACAATACATTTTAGAAGGTACACTTTACACTCAAGAGTTTTAGATTCAATATGATGTGTGCCAGGTGCTATGGACATAGAAAATAACGTACAGCCCTTGTCTTTGTAGATTACAATCTGGTGAAGAACACAGTAAACAAACAATTATAGTACAATGTGATAGTTTACAAGAAATGAATGAAACAATGCAATGAAAACACAAGATAGGACAGCTAAGCCCTATGCAGTAGGGGAAAGCTGACATAAAGGTGTCCACAGATTTCCTAGACCTTTTATTTATGATCAGTGGTCCTGAGATCCATTTCCAAACACTAGTGATTCCAAGCACAGACATACTGAGGGATTTTTTTTTTAGCAACAACATACAATAGGAAAAAATACATTTGAATAGGCTGACATCAAGTGGAGAAGACCTTTCCAGAACTGGGAAATGGCAGAGTTCCACTAAACAAGGTAACTCAGTAACCGCCTTACCTGTCTTCTGGTAATTCGACTGGTTTAATCCGAAAGTCTCCATTTACTACAATTTCATGGGCTAGAGCCATGTTAGTGACTCCTTTCGCTGTCTCTAGAAGTTCTTCTACTGTCACAAATCGAGGAGGACTAGCTGTAACAAAACCCAGTGTAAGAGATTTGCTTCTCTAGATTAAAATTTCCATTAAAGTGAGGAGAAGGCAGTGGTTCTGGTACCAACTAATAATTTTGGTTATGCCTCTATTTATGAAAATACTCTGGCAATTTCAAACAATAGAACTTTACCTGTTTCATTTTTTTTTTTTAACCTAGAAACCTAAAAACAGAGACTACTTCCAACATTGAAAATAGCTGGTTTTTTACTTATGGCTGGTCAGTGGAAATGATTAAATTAAACTGAGACTTAGGTAAGATTTTTAAGTCACAGACTATCAAATTGTCCAAGAAGCAGAGGGGTGTTTTCTAATCTCTTTGTTTTTAGCCTATCCTAAATTTAAGAAAGGAGACCCCAGATCTAGGATTTCCTCATTTGTTCCCATCATCGGTTTACATTTTGTGCCACCACTAATACCGCGCCAGGAGTGAATTCCCCCAAATTAAAATTCAATCAAGTAGTTTAGCACATCAGGTGCTACTCAAAAAACAAGCTACTACCCTGTATGTGATACTAAAAATGTTTTGAAACCATAATTTGAAAAGCACTGACCTAGAAGATAATTAAGAAGGTATATTAATTTTCTGTAATGGGGATAAGACCTAGGCTTAAAATGAGATAAATAATGTCACTGGTTTGCACAGGGTTTAGCAGTTATAAAGATCTTCTTAGGTTACTCAAAAATTATTTGCCTTCCTCTTTTACTTTTTTCTTTTGCTCACCAAAAAAAAGGAACTAAATCTAAGAGCTGGTCATATCCTATCTGGTAAAAATGTTTATTTAGTCACATAAGGGGAAGTTGGGAATACTCAACAAAAAGTCTTTTCAACGTTTCCACAGAATAAAAATACTAAATAAATAAATCTTGCTTCATGAATATTAGCAAAATATAATATCCAAAAATCAAAATCCAAAATCCAAAAATCAAAGCCCAGATAAAAATTTTCAATATTATTAAGATGTCAATTTCTCCCAAATTGATCTACTCATAAAATGCAATCCCAGTAAAAACCCCAGCAAGTTTTTTTGTTGAAAAAGCCAAACTCATTCTAAAATTTACATGGAAATGCACAGGACCTACAGAAATGAAAACTATTGTGGAAAAGAATAAAGTTGGAAGATTTACACTAACTGATCTCCAGAGTTACTTTAAAGCTACAACAATCAAGACAGTGTTTTTGGTATGAAGATAGATCTACAGACCCAGTGAAGAGAAGAGAGAACCCAGAAACAGACTGATACACACACACATACATACATATACATGTAGTCAATGAGGCAAGACTAGTTTAGCTAAACAGTGCTGGAACACTTGATTCTCAGGATATACAAGAATGACCCTCAACCCTAACCACACATGATAAGTAAAAAGGAACTCAAAATGGACCACAGACCTAAATATAAGAGCTAAAACTATAAAACTCCTAGGAGAAAAGATAGGTGAAATCTTTATCTTGAATTAGGTAAAATTTCTTAGAGTAAGATACAAAAAACTCAATATATTAAGAGAAAAAAATTAATAAAAGAATAAAACTTTTATTCTGTGAAAGACTCCTACAAAGAAAATGAAAAGGAATGTCAGGTAGGACAGAATCTATGCAAAACACACATGCAATAAAGGACTTGTATGCAGAATACAGAAAGAACTCTTACAACACAAAAACAGACGACAACCAGTAAAATATAGGCAAAAGATCTGAAGAGACATTGCTCCAAAGTAGATACACAAGTGGCCAGTAGGCCACAAAGAGCCATTCAACATCATTAATCATCAGTGTGAGATAACAGAAAATATGCACGTTGGTCTCTGCCCCTGGTTCCTGGCAGAAGACTCCTAAAATCCTTCTTACTTCCTAAGTGATAAGAACACGAGGAGCATCTAGTTTTAATATTTGGTTTTCGACCCCTCACTAACAGCAGGCTCCTAAAACCCTTGTTAATTCCGAAGCAATAAGCAGAAGGAACAGGTTTTATTCTTTCGAGATGACTCTGAATGAGCTCGTGGACAGCTTCTGGATGGGGGCTGGTCACCAGAGAGACCACGCCAGGATCAGAAGGCTGGAATTTTCAGTCCTATTCTCCAGAGAGGTTAGAAGGGCTGGAAATGGAGTTAATAATTAATCAGGCCTATACGAGGAAACCTCTATAAAGTCCTAATTGCAGGGCGTTCCGAGATCTCCCAGGTTGTCCAACACATCCATACTGGAAAGGGTGATGCTCCCCAACTCCACAGACAGAAGCTCCGGCATGGAGGAAACCCCCAGACTTCACCCTAGGTAGCTCTTCATCTAGCTGCTCATCTGTATTTACCTTAATAAACCAGAGAACCGTGTCGCCCTGAGTTCTGTGAGCCACTCTAGCAAATCAACAGAATCCATGGAGGGGTCGGCAGAATCTCCAAGCTATAGCCCACTGGTCAGAAGCACAGATGACAACCTAGGCTTGTGACTGGTGGCCAAAGCAGAGGGGCTGGGGGTGGGGGGCAGTATTCCTGTGGAACTAAGCCCTTCACCTGTAAGATCTGATGGTATCTGTGGGTAAACAGTGTCAGAATTCAGTTGCAGTGTAGGACATCCAGCTGGTGTGAAAACAGGTAGAAAACTGTAGGTTTTTCCTTTTAGATTCAGGGAAATGCAATTTAAAACCACACTGAGATACCACTACACACCTACTGGAATGGCCAAAATGAAAGACGCTGATCACACCAAGTCCTGACATAGATGTGGAGCATCTGGAACTCTCTCATACATAAACAATGGGAATGAAAAATGGTACCGCCACTTTAGAAAACTGGTTCTTGGTTTCTTATGAAGTAAAGCATACCCTGACCACATGACCCAGCAAACCCATTCCTAGGTCTTCACCCAAGAAAACTGAAAACATATGGCCACGTGAAGACCTGTACTCAAACGTTAATAGCAGCATTCTTCCTAACAATCACAACCTAGAACTAATCCAAATGTCCATCAACGGCAGAATGGATAAACAGATTGTAACCATACACCAGAATACTACCCTGCGATAACAAAGGAATAAACTAATACATGCAAAGACACAAATGAATCCTAAAAGCATCATCTCAAGTTAACGAGTCAGATACAAAGACTATATACAGTACGTTTCCATTTATTTGAAATCATAAAAAGGGCAACATTATAGTGACAGAAAGCAAGTAAGTGGTTGCCAAAGGCTGGAACTCATTATATGAGGCCAGCATTACCCTGACACCAAAACCAGACACTACAGGAAAAGAAAATTACAGGTCATCATCCCTGATGAACATAGATGCAAAGATCCTCGACAAAATATGGCAAACCAAATTCAACAGTACATTAAATGGGTCAAACGCTGTGATCAAATGGTAGGAAAGATTCACTGTCCAGGGACATGGGGATTTGGGGAGGTGATGAAAATGTTCTAGAAGCTCATAATTGTGGCAGCAGTGACACAACTGTAAATACGTTTGTCAAAACTCAAATACATACTTAAAATTCAACTTCATTATATATAAATTATACCTCAATGAAGTCAATTAAAAATTCAAAGGCACTGAGCAGGAATTTGCTGTATGCATACTGATTATTAAATTTATTCAAGCTAATATTTTCTCTATCCATTTATCAGAAAATGGAACTTCCACTGTGGCATATCAACAGCAAGCATCAGAAATTATTAAATTCCAGGGGCACCTGGGTGGCTCAGTGGGTTAAGCCCCTGCCTTCGGCTCAGGTCATGATCCCAAGGTCCTGGGATTGAGCCCCACATCGGGCTCTCTGCTCAGCGGGGAGCCTGATTCCACCCCCCGCCCCCCCCCCCCGCCTATCTCTCTGCCTACTTGTGATCTCTGTCAAATAAAGAAAGATTTAAAAAAAAAAATAAAAGATTTTATTTTTCTTAAGTAACCACTACACCCAATGTGGGGCTTAAACCCACAACCCCAAGATCAAGAGCCACACCAACTTAAAGAGACTCAGGATTGTCACCAAGGCTTCCACGTTTTGTTTTAGCCCTGGTTTTGCAAAAATCTTCAAATGTCTGATCTTAAACTTATAAAAAAAAAAAAAAGAAAGAAACACACCCAGTTTTCACAGTAAATTTGCCATTTTTCAACAATTTGGGGCATTTGGGTGATGAGAAATAGACACTGGTCTCATGGTACCTAGTCATGAAACACAATGGACACAGCACGTCAGGGAGAAATTCAATTCCCTCTAACCAAGACTCTTGAATGTGACCTTGAACAAGTCATTTAAACGTTCCAGGGCCAGAGGCGCCTGGCTGGTTCAATCAGTTAAGCATCTGACTGTTGGTTTCTGCTCAGGTTGTGATCCCGGGGTCGTGGGGTCAAGCCCTGCAAGGAGGCCCACACTAGGTAGGGAGACCACTTGGGATTCTGTCTTTCCATCTCCCTCTGCTCCTAAATCTTTAAATCTTCCAGGGCCACTATTTACTAATATGCAAAAAGAAGACAACCGAAGGAATGTTCTGTGAAAGAGGAGACTTCCAAATTATAGGTTAGTGTGTTCACAGGGTTTTGGGCATACTTGGGACAAAACCATTTGTACCAAGTGCTGAGAACATCAGACACCAGTTTACAGGCACTGTCCAACTTAGAGACTACTTAAAATCAAACTTATTAATGAAGGGTACCTGATCAAAAGAGATAAGAGCTACAATTTTAAGATACGATCAGGATACGTTATAGATCTATACCCACAGGAATTGTTCACTGCATACTAATTACAGGGTTGATGTTTTGTGTTTGCAAATTCTCAAATGGCAAATGTCACCTAAACTACTATAGAGTGAGTGAGGTGAAGCAAGGGTAAAGTTTATCCACAGAACTTAGTGCGCTGTGTAGAAATCGCTTGTCACTTTGTCTTCCTCACTAGACAGCAAGCTCCATGAGCAAAGAGACCGTGTGGACCTGCTGGCTCACTGCTGGGTTCCTGATACACAGCATGCACTTAATAAATACTGACTGAACACGGATACACCATAACTCAAAGTCTAGTCACGAGCTTTAAAAAATGTAAGAGCGGAGGGACCGTGGCTGGCTCAGTTGGAAGAGCCTGCAGCTTGATCTTGGGGTTGTGAGTTCGAGCCCCACACTGGGTGTGGAGATTACTGAAATAAACAAACCAAAATGTAAGAATTTAGTACCATCCACTTATCTAAGGATGCCTGGGATACACTAATTAAATTCACAGGGGCGCCTGGCTGGCTCAGTCAGTAGAGCATGTGATTCTCATCTCCAGGTTGTAAATTCGAGCCCCATGTTGGATATATTACTTAAAAATAAAATCTTTAGGGGCATCTGGGTGGCACAGTCAGTTGAGTGTCTGACTCTTGGTTTCAGCTCAGGTCATGATCTCAGGATTGTGAGATAGAGTCCTGCCTTGGGCTCTATGCTCAGCATGGGGTCTGCCTAAGACTCTCTCCCTCTCCTCACCCCATCTGTCCCTTGCCCACATGCACTTGTGTGCCTTTTTTCTCTCTCTCCCTCTAAAGATAAATAAATCTTCAAAAAAAAAAAAATAAGAATAAAATCTTTTTAAAAAATATAAGAACTTAGTATCATCCCTTTATCTAAGGATGCCTGGGATCTACTAATTAAACTCACAAAGACCTGATTTAATAAATCAAAAAGCTACATGGAAAATATTAACTGGAATAACAATTGATGCTTTTCATCTGAATACAGCATCTTTCACTGGCCAACAGGTGATGAAACACCAGCACAGAAGGTGCTTTGTGAGCAGAGAAGCATATGGAAATAGAGAATCTCAGAGGGGACATTAAGTTACAGCTGACTGACCCTTCCTCTGAGGAGCTCTGTGTTTAAGGAACACATCATTGTTAGAATCAAATCACCATTTCAGATTAGGGCCAACCAATTCTCACAAGCCAGCCATTTTTTTCTTTTTCAATATTCTCTATCACTACTAAAGGTTCTGCACCCAAATTCCAACATGTGTGGGGGCAAGCAGCTGTCACACACCAGCCAGGGGTCCTATAATTCCATTCAATCCTGACACTATCTACCTGCAGGTAGCGTCGGATCCCACAGGTTAGGGGCTGGGTTCTACAAACTGCCCCGGTTCCAAGTCCACAGTGTCACCTGTGCTATAAATCAGAGGTTCCAATGACTCCCTCCTCTTGCTCGCTTAATTTGCTACAGCAGCTCACAGAACTGAGAAATGTGTCACTTAGCAGATCCTTGGTTTAGTATAAAAGGCTAGAACTCAGGAGCAGCCAGATGAAGAGATGGGTGGGGCAAGGGGGGAGGAGCGTCTGTGCTCAGAGCACCCCACTCTCCCAGCACCACCACGTGTTCATCAACCCAGAAGCTCCCCCAACACAGTCCTCTGGGGTTTTTAATAGAGGCTTCATTATACAGGCATGATTGATTCAATCACTGGCCATTGGCAGGGCGCTTGGGTGGCTCAGTCGGTTAAGTGGCCAACTCTTGATTTCAGCTCAGGTCCTGATCTCAGGGTCCTAGGATCAAACCCATGGTCTGGGTCCCTCTTGTCTCCTTGTTTGGTAGGGAATCTGCTGGAGGATTCTCTCTCTACTCCTCCCCCCACATGCCCAGGCTCCCACTTCCTTCCTCTCTTAAATCTTTAAAAAAAAAAAATCGCTGGCCATTGACAATTGATTTAACTTCCAGCCCCTCTCCCCAGTCTGCAGGTTGGAGGAGGAGACTGAAAGTTTCAACCCTTGGGATGCCTGGGTGGCTCAGTTGGTTAAGACGCTGCCTTGGCTGGGATCATGATCCCAGCCACCTGGGATGGAGCTCCTTGCTCGGCGGGGGACCTGCTTCTCCCTCTGCCTCTGCCTGCCACTCTGCCTGCCTGTGCTCGCTCTCAATCTCTCTGACAAACCAAAAAAAAAAACAAAAACAAAAAACAAAAAAAAAAACCTTTAAAATTAAAAAAAGAAAAAAGAAAGTTTCAACCCTCCAATTAATCATATGACTGGGTCCCCCTAGGAACCAGCCCCCATCCTTGGGTGACCTAAATGCTTTCCAGAAGTCACTTCATTAACATAACAAAAGATACCTTTCCTGTGCTCATCACTTAGGAAATTCCAAAGGAGCTCTTTGCCAGGAACTGGCCAAAACACAGAGTTTTCTTATTTTATAATTCACAATATCACAGTTACCAACAGCAATTCTGCCCTTAAAATACTACTCTATTAAAATTTGCAAGGCTAAAGATTATCTTTTTGCTATTTACATTTTAATTTGTAGAATGCCAGAAGTGATTTTACAGTTATTATAAACTCAAATGTCTGCAGTTTCTTTCATATTTTATAAATTCTTATATATGCTCTAGGTGATGAGTGAGGCTTCCTGATGTGGTCCCCAGACTATAGGGTCTGAGCTTTACACAGAGGCCCACGGCCCTGTGCCTACCTATTATTATAAGAAGAACAAGGAAGCCAGAACAATATTTTAGGGCACTGATTTTATATATCATTTTGGTATAGACTTCTAAACAAATTTAATGAAATCTTCCATGACTTTCTTCCTAAAAAAATGCATATGCACACAAATGTTGATATACTTTTCTGGCTGTTCCTACGACCCCTAAAAATCTTGGGTCCCAAGATAAGTACTCTTGTCTTAAGGACATAACTACATACAGTCTCAGATAATATAGTCTAATGTTGGCTAGACATTAATTTGGAGTCATGCCATTAGACTGACAGGATGCCAAAGCAAGGCCATCAATCAAAGAATGACTAAAGATTCATACCAATGATCCTCCTTTATCAGAAACTGTAGGTGATAAAACCATCATATCAGCCATATACATCCCAATTACAGCAATCAGTCCTGGTATCTTTAATCACAACAGATGACATGCCAGTAGTATTAACAATTAATATTTGTTGAGCATTTACTAGGTGCCAAGCTTATTCTAAACACTTTACATGAATTCATTTAATCTTTACAACTATCCTAAGAGATAAGTGTAATTTCCTCATTTTAAAAATTAGAAAACAGGGGCGCCTGGGTGGCTCAGTGGGTTAAGTCTCTGCCTTCTGCTCAGGTCATGATCCCAGGGTCCTGGGATGGAGCCCCACATCGAGCTCTCTGCTCAGCAGGGAGCCTGCTTCCTCCTCTCTCTCTGCCTACTTGTGATCTCTGTCTGTCAAATAAATAAATAAAATCTTTAAAAAAAAAAAAAAAAAGAAAGAAAGAAAGAAAGAAAAGAGTATTGTGTGGACTAATAAATTACCTGGGAAGGACTTTGATCATTTTAAAAGAAACACACCTAAAACCACAAAAATGTTCATATTTCTTTCAAATATGAAGAACTACTGATCACCTCCACTTTAAAGAGATAACATCAGCACTGACATTCTTAGACTATGACACTCCCTCTTAAAACTTTCATTTTTGGACTCACTTCAAAAAGCTTAAGTATTCTTAATAAAAGACATGAGTTGGGGCGATTGCTGGGAATACTTGTGGAAATTACCACCTTTTCATCCGTGAGGCCGGCTCCCTGCCAGGGATCTGAAATGACTTCACCGACCATTCAGCAAACTGAATCCCCTCAGCCTCGTGGGAACGAAGCCCCCAGGCAATGAAGTTAGGGTGTGGTGACCTCACTCACATTCAAAACCTATTTCTTTTTTAACCTGCACAAGCAGAGTCCTGGCTGGAACCTGCCTCAGACTTTTCAGACGTTTTTTTAAATTAAAGCTACAATTTGCACTCCACCCTCTTTCTCAGAGCACTTCAGAGAAAGTGGAATGCCACGGAGACCACAGGAAGACAGGAATATTCCGGACAGGATCCTAAAATTTTAATTTCTCTAGCAATTGAAAATCCACAAGTGGGGGCGCCTGGGTGGCTCCGTAAAGCATCTGCCTTCCAGCTCAGGTCATGATCTATATGGGTCCTGGGATGGGCCTGCAGGGCTCTCTGCTCAGTCTGCTCCTCTCTCTCTCTCTCTTGCTCTTTGCCTCCCCACCGGGCATTTTCTCTAATAAATAAATAAAATTTTTTAAAAAACCAGAAAAAAAGAGGGGTGCCTGGGTGGTTCAGTGGGTTGGGTCGTGGTCTCCGGGTCCTGGGATCGAGTCCCTCATCCGGCTCTCTGCTCAGCAGGGAACCTGCTTCCTCCTCTCTCTCTCTGCCTGCCTCTCTGCCTACTTACTTGTGATCTCTCTGTCAAATAAATAAATAAAATCTTAAAAAAAAAAAAAAAAAAGAAAACCCACAAGTGACTAGGCTGCCGGTTGAGAAACTTGCTATTCTTAAATATTATAACTTACTAGTTATCCGCAATGTTATATTATTAGAACCCAGGTCAGGGTCACAAGTAAAAGGAAGCCTAATCAAAGTATCATCTCAAAACATGATAATAGGGTTTCTACCCAAAGGCAAATTTGCTTACAGTGAGGTCTTTGCACTCTTTGGGTGCTGGGAGAGCCCGACTTTACTGTTTTCTGTAGAGCGGCATCAGAACCTTTCACAGCATCTTCAAGGTCTTGCTCAGAATCATTCGATTTTGATTTTCCTGCTTCATTTATATTGGGCTTGTCAGGGTTTTCGGACATTCTCAATTAAGTTTAATTCACTTTCCTAGGAAAGAAAAAAAAAAAGTGAACAAAATGTTCTGGCTCTGTCACTAGCTAGTAGTGTGACTCTGGGCAAATCATTTATCCTCCTTGGGTTTCAATTTTCTCACCTGTGAAAATGAATGGGCTTGTGAAGCTCTTACCCAGCTATCATATTCTACCTGTGATTAAATAGACAGCTCTAAAATTACGCTTGTGATTTACCAAATTTATGGACCTGTACCTCAGATACAGAGCGACAAGTTTGAATATTTTTGTCCCACACTCCTAAGTACCATGTCAAAAGAAAACAGGACAGACCTTACATTGTTGGAAGATAATACTACCAAGTGCCCACTTCTATTTTAATCAAAGAGTGATTCAATTCGTCACTACTTTCATTCCTGAGAGCTGATATGAAAAGTCTTTGGAAACCATGCTTTTAACCTTTGCTTCCATACACTGGGCTGATAAGCCGCTTCCCTGATTCTGTTGTGTGGACGACTAGAGATGACACATAGAAGGTAGAATCTTACAAGGCATGTAAGAATATGCGGGGCAAATATTTTTATTAACTTCTTGTCAGTGAGCAGGAAAAGATCGTAAGGAGGAAGTTGCAAACAACCACAATGTATGGGGTTGGGTGGGGTTTTAATTTTTTAAGTTGCTGGTTAGAACAGCAATAATATTTAGCACATTGGTTTTGGCCAGTTTAAAAAAAAAAAAAAAAAGAAAAAAAAAGGCCTGAAATTGTAACCTCTTTTTACTGTAGAAGTTCTGTCAAGTTTTTCCTTCCAGAGGTTTTTCCCTGGAGTTCTCTCTTCCTAAGGTGTTTCTAATTAAGGGAGAAGACAGAGACAATGTTTCTGCATTCACAAAACTGCAAATAATTAGAATTTGTACCATCAGCACTTGGAGATCACAAAACATTTTCATAAACACTAATTAGTCTTTATTATACACCTGGATGGTAATCCAAGGATCAAAAGAAATGTTGACTGCTTCCAAAAGGTCTGGCAGACTCTCTTCTGCACATTAAACAGAGAAGAATCACTTGATATAATTATCTGAAATTTCAGATCCCTCCATTAAATAAAATGAAGTTACTGGAATTGACATTTTCAGGCCTGCATTTTTTCCCCCAGGCCTGTATTATTAATATGAAGGTTGCTTTAATGCAGTTCCTCTTACCTTCTAACATCCCACTCCAGACACCCATCTCCTCTGTCCTAAATCCTATTAGGCTCTGGATATGCTCCAAACCAAAAGATAACATTGCCAGCATATTCTATGAGAAAGGACAAACACACACACTGCTAATTTTATCCTCTTCACATGCTGAGAATGAGCTCAGAAAGGATGAAGTAACTCCTAACTGCGCAGTGAGGAGGAAGGCATGCTTTTCTCCAACGCTGGGTTTAGTAAACTAACCCCATCCTTTTAAGATTCAGCTCAAGTCCTACTCCTCCCAGAACACTTCCCAGCAATGTCTGCACCTTTCCCTGAACTCTTGTTGGGCTAGTTACTGAATATCTGGCATGCATCCTTGCCTTAAATCCAATTCAAAATATACTTATTTAGGGGCCCCTGGGTGGCTCAGTAGTTAAGCATCTGCCTTCGGCTCAGATCATGATGCCAGGGTCCTGTGATCAAGCCCCAAGTCCAGTTGACTCTGGCTCTGTGCTGGGCAGGAAGTCTGGTGCTCCCTCTCCCACTCCCCCTGCTTGTGTTCCCTCTCTTGCTGTGTCTCTGTCAAATAAATAAATAAAATCCTTTTAAAAATTCTGTATCTTAATCTATATCTATCTATCTATCTATCTATACTTATTTAAATAGGCCTGGAGAGGGAAACATGCTCACTAGGAAACAGGCTGAAGATTAAGTCTTGGTGGCATGAAGAAATCACTAAGGGAACACAGCAGACGGAGACAAGAATTCTGCCTGGTGGAAGGCTGGGATAACCTTCCCGAAAAAGGTGACATTTGAGCTGTTCCTTTGAAAAGAGAGGATTTCACCCAATTAAAAAATGACTAGAGTGAGAGAGGAGGTGGAGAGGGAGAGCATTTCACTCAGAGGGCAAATGTGAAGGCACACGAAAATGAGCAGGAGAACTAGTGGCAGGTGATGAAGAGGGAAAGATGGGTTGGGGCGAGCCTGTAAAACTGCTAGTTTTATTGAAAACACACACACACACACACACACACACACACACACACACACAACTCTTCACGTAGATTTTTAACTTCTTCGTGCCCAGCACCAACCACATTTCCCAATCCGCTCCATCCGTGTAAGCCTATCTTCCAAACAGAAGCCCGTTAAGTATTTGTTGACAGCTGTGTCATCTCTGTGATGTCAGCGTGTGTGGGAAGGATGGGCGTTGGTCTCAGACGTACCTGGGTTCCAATTTTGGCTCTTTACTAGCTGGGGAACTTCAGTTTCCTCCTCTGTAAAATGCAGCTACCTACTTCTTCGATTTGGGGGACGATGAGACGACAGAATGTGCAGAACAGCAGCCGGCACACCACAGGCTTCCCACAAATGGTAGCTGTAATTACTGGGCTACAGGAAGCACCGACTGCTTACAGCGTGCTCATTCATTCAACAATCAACAACTCCGGCTCCGCCCGAAAAGGGAACCGGGGTAGGAGGCTCCTCGCACTGGCCCGAAAGGCCTTCCATCCGAGCTACATGCTCGGCCCGGGAGCCACAAGACACTCCCCAGCAGAAAGGGTCTCTCCGCAAAGGAAAGGCGCTCCGTCCACCGACGCCGGGACCCGCTCCCTCTGGCCCCCAGTGCCACTCACTCTCGGCGCCCGGATTCCGTTGTAAACAACTGTTCCGGCCGGCGAGGGAGTGGCGGGCCGGCTGCAAGCGATGGAAGAGGGGCGCGCTAGTAGCATGGCCTCGAGGGGCGGGACAAAGGCCGCTCTACGCCGCACCCCGCCGCCGCCCCTGCTTCTCCCTTGGCTCCACCCGACAGCACGGGACCCGACCGGCGCGGACGAGGCGAAGAAATGCCTGGGAATGCCACCTGGCGCCTCCCGCGCGGGCCCCGCAGGGCTGCCAGCCTCTGCGTCCCCTTCCCTCACCTGCCGCGGAGTTCTCCCTCCTGCCGCTCGCGCTGGGAATGAGACGGCCGCCGGCGCCGCGGCAGAGGCGCGGAGCGATGCGCGGCGAGCACGGGACGCTTCAGCCTCTGCCCTTCCGAGGCTGCATCCCTCGCCGCGCTGCGGGCGGTCCTCCGAGCCAGGCTCGGGTGGGTAGCGGCCAGTGTGGCCGCTCCTCAAGCGTCGGGAAGGAGGAGGCAGCTCTTTAGCCGGGAGGCGCCCGCCCCTCGTAGGGCGGCGCCATGTTTTCGTACGGAAAAGCGGGAGGCGCGGTCCGGTGCAGGCTCGGGGGGCTCGGTGGGCGGGGGCTCGAGCCGGGAGGCGCCATGTTTCCGTACAGAGATGCGAGAGGTAGGCTACGAGTCGGCCGACAGGGCTCAAGCGGGCGGTGGCTCAGAGACAGGTCGTGCCCGCCCCACGCAGGGCGGCGCCATGTTTTCGTACGGAAAGGTGGGCGCCGCCACTGAGAGTGTGAGGCGGGAGAGGAACACGTGGTAGAGCCTGCGCGGAGTCTGTCCAGTGAAAGAAAAAGGCCGCTTATTCGCAACCTCTTTCAAAGCCTTCCCTGCCCGGGTTTTCAAACATCAATATTATCCTCATATTTTGTAGCTGCACGTAGTTTATTATTCTGCCTCATTTGGGCTGTTTAAAAAAAAAATGCCATGCCAACCACTTGGATAGCCCAGCCTCACTTTAACGGCACAGATTGATTTTGGTTTGGGGGTCCTCTCATTTATCTAAGTGGTTGCTACACGTTGTCGATAGAGCCAGACTTCAGCCCGAAGAGACGCGAGGCAAGGGGACGGACGGTTCCCATGTGGATTCAGCTCAGTGTAGGTAACATAAACAACAGTGAGCACTTGGTGCATTTTATGAACTGTTTTCTAGGGAAAAAAAATATCGTGCTAAGACAAGCCCGTTTGGAGCCTCATCTCACTCATCACAGGTAACGGGGGCCGTGATTATTTGGGCACTGGACTGGAGGCTGCTCAAAAAAAAAAAAAAAAAAAAAAAAATCCACATGCTATTCTTACCTTTTAGCGGCAAGATAGCAAACTACGTGAACAGAGATCGTTTTTGTACCTAAAATTAAAAAATAAAAGCTATGTGATTCTTAACTGTTCATTTGTAAAGATGCTATAAGACTGAGCATAAGTCATGCATGCCTTAATTAAACAAAATGAAGGTAATAATCGAGTCTCCTACCTGTAGCCTATAAAACTTGTTAAATTTAAATAACTAGAAAAGCAAGATGATGTGAAATTAGTGCTTTCAAACACTACTAAATAGATAACATGTGGGCAGTTATTCCTAAAGTATTGAAGGCTGAGGACAGCACACCTTCAAGTCATTCACGAACTAGAACATTAGGTATTTTTTCTTAAATACACATGCACGTTAAAGTCCTCAGATGAGGATTCACTTTAGGAGAGAAAAAACCAAACCCCTGAAGATACTCAACTAACTGGAATAAAGATTCATCAAGAAAACATTAAGCTCTCATTGCAGAGTCCAGACTAATATACCATAGGGTCTCTGGACTAGTGTTCTCCACTCTGACTACTCCCTAAAACAGTCTGGGGTGTGGGCCTTCTCAAAGAATCATCTAAAACTCTGCAGGTGATGCCAGGGGAAAACTGTTAAGCTTTCTAGCTGATTCGAATGTGCAGCCCGGCAAGAACCACCTCCCAAGGGGCGCCTGGGTGGCTCAGTGGATTAAGCCACTGCCTTCGGCTCAGGTCATGATCTCAGGGTACTGGGATCGAGTCCCGCATCGGGCTCTCTGCTCGGCAGGGAGCCTGCTTCCTCCTCTCTCTCTCTCTGCCTGCCTCTCTGCCTACTTGTGATCTCTTTGTCAAATAAATAAAATCTTAAAAAAAAAAAAAAACCACCTCCCAAGAGATCCACCCCTCCCCACCCCCAACCACATCCACACCCCTAGAGAGAGTCCACTACCTTCCTTGAAGGATTATTATAAACAATTTTCACTTGTGCAGGGGATGTTGTTACAATATCAAAACCATTGATTTGACTTGTGATGGTTGTTATCTTTTGATATATTTGGAATTGTTTCCTTTGAATATGAAAAACATTGACACCTTGTTTGATTTTTTTGGCTGCAAGCACTAGAAACTCAAACTACTTCAAAATTAAGGAAGCTCACGGCAAGCCTACTTAGGGTTTGGAAGGAGAACGCCAGCAGCTGTTCAAGAGAGCCAGACTGTTCGATCATCTCCCCAAGACACACAGGATGGTTCCCATCACACCGCTGCTCCTTGCTGCCATCTCCTGCACTCCTCTGAATCACAGACTGGTTTCTCTGTTTTCTTAGTTGTTTCTCCCTCCTACTTTGGATTTTTCTATATAGAATTTCCTTGGCCAAGCTGATTTTTGTGCAAAATCAGTCATTTGCCTATAGGCAAGCTGTCCTTGGATCAGTGCTTAGCCCCAGTCTACCCAGCTAAGGTGATGGCAAGGCTCAGTCACTTAGCCATCAGGTGTCTAAGTGGGGCTGGGTCCCCAGTGGGAGATCATAGAAGAGTGGATGAGGGCACACAGCAAGCAGCTGGCAGTTCTAGTGATACAGGAGGGGTGCCCCCAGCATTCAGGGTAGCACAAGACCCCCACCCTTTAAAACTTTGACCATGCTTGCAGTAAACAGGACAAATTTTTCTTAAAACTTTATTCTACCCTTGCTTAGGAAGTTTGAGGTAAACTGTGATCTTGCTAGAATTTTCCATGAAATGATTGTTAGGATGCCACTGCTTCTAGGAACATGAATATAATCACTAGACAGTTAGTTCTGCTTCCCCTGAAGGAGAAGTGTTAGTTTTGTTTGCCAAATAGTCATTCAATTATGTGCCGAGTAAAGGTTGCAAGTCAAGAGTGTACACACAGTTGCTCTATATTAATGTATTGTCTCTAGATTATTCTCAACCCTGACTACCTCTTGGAATCTCCAGTGGGGTGGGGTGGGGTGGGGTGGGCAGGAGTTCTTTTTTTTTTTTTTTTTTTTTTAATTTATTTGACAGAGATCACAAGCAGGCAGAGAGGCAGGCAAAGAGTGAGAGGGGAAGCAGGCTCCCCGCCGAGCAGAGAGCCCAATGTGGGGCTTGATCCCGGGACTCTGGGATCATGACCTGAGCCGAAGGCAGAGGCTTTAACCCACTGAGCCACCCAGGCGCCCCAGATGTTCTAAAAGGATCATCTGAGACTGCAGGGGTGAAGCCAGGGAAGAACTGTTAAGCTTTCCCGGTGATTCGAGTGTGCAGCTGGGCAAGAACCACCTCCCCACTCTGAGTATGGTCTCCCCACACTTTCCGTAGTTTCTGCAAACTTCCTCACACTTAAATCACAAACCAGCTTATCTTCTCTTTTTCACATAGGAAAGACAGCTGCCTTCCCTTGCCTATAAAAACAAAATGGAAAACAAGAAAACCTGACAGTTATTCCCTGCTTTATTAGGAGGACTGGGACCACAGACACACTGGAGAGTCCTCAACTTTCTCCCATTGGAAGACTAACCGTATCAGATGTTAAAAAATAAAAGACTGACATGCTAGCATTTTGGCGCATCTAAGTTTTCCCTACTTCTCTTTTAGGGTTTTAAGTAAGCTCTACACCCAACGTGGAGCTCGAATTCAGAGACTGATACCAAGAGTCACACACTCTAAGGTCTGAGCCAGCCAGGTGCCCCTCCCTACATCTCCTTAAAAGTCTAAGTAGAGGGGCACCTGGGTGGGTCAGTGGGTTAAGCCTCTGCCTTTGGCTCAGGTCATGATCTCAGGGTCCTGGGATTGAGCCCCGCATCAGGCTCTCTGCTTAGCAGGAAGCCTGCTTCCCCCCCCCACCCCCGTCTCCTGCCTACTTGTGATCTCTCTGTCAAATAAATAAATACTTAAAAAAAAAAAAAAGTCTAAGTAGAGGGTGCTTGGGTGGCTCAGTGGGTTAAAGCCTCTGCCTTTAAAGCCTGAGCCTCTGCTCAGCTCATGGTCTTGGGGTCCTGGGATCGAGCCCTCTGCTCAGCAGGGAGCCTGCTTCCCCCTTTTTCTCTGCCTGCCGCTCTGCCTACTTGTGATCTGTCTCAAATAAATAAACTATAAAAAAAAAAGTTGGAAGATTTTCACCAGTTCACAGTAAGTACAGGATATGAGAAGCACATGATAAAAGATAGCATAGGCTTACAATTAGCAAAATCCAGACTGTGGAGAAACTCAAGAACTGACCAGTTTTATTTAATGAGAAAGGCAGAGAGAGAAGAGGAAGAGGAGGAGAAAGGAGGAGTTAAAAGAAGAACATACAAATTAAAAGAGACTTAAGGGCGCGCCTGGGTGGCTCAGTGGGTTAAAGCCTCTGCCTTTGGCTCAGGTCATGATCCCAGGGTCCTGGGATGGAGCCCCGCATCAGGCTTTCTGCTCCGTGGACAGCCTGCTTCTTCCTCTCTCTCTGCCTGCCTCTCTACTTGTGATCTCTGTCAAATAAATAAATAAATAATGTTTAAAAAAAATAAAAGACTTAAGAAGCACATTAAGCAATTG